TTTTGGCCTCAAAAAATAAAATTGTTGCGAAAAACATTTCGGACAAGAAGCCGAGTTTTCCTTTCCCTTTTTTTAAAAAAACTCTTTGACTGTACTTAAATTAAATGGCTATTCGAATCATATTATATTATCTTTATCATATCTTTTTCCGAGGGCTATTGCTTGTGTTTGAAAATATAAGTTAGTGAAAGTAAGCTGTGTATGAGTTTAAGAGCCGGTGAAAATACATCAATGAATTAAATTTTTATTTTTGCAGAAATCAATCTCTGTCTTCCAAATCCCTGCAAAAATGGTGCAACATGCACAGAAAGAACTGGAGGGCGATACGAATGTACTTGTCCTATTGGATACAAAGGTGTAACGTGTGAAGGTATTGATACTGATAAATATTTAAACTATTTAAAGACATTAAGGCAGCGCCAAGCTCCTACAGCACATTCTTAAATATTTATTGGACAGATTCTTTAGATTCAATAGTATTTCATTTTGTTTGTGATTCTTTTCTATTCTTTTATCCTCTCAGTTTCACATGATAGAAAGAGTAATTCAGAAGGAATTGAACATTCATAGAAACAGATCTTCTTTTGTCAAAGAGAGAAAGAGGGAACTGAATGATTTCTTTGAAGTAACAGCCTGTATGAAGATAATGACTGAAAAAACTATCTGCCTCTTTGTTTTCATTTGTACTGCAGAAAGGAGCATTTGTTTCTCCAATCCCTGTATGAATGGAGGAACCTGTCTTGATGAGACATACGGATATAGGTGCAGTTGCAGGGTCGGCTACAGTGGCATCAACTGTCAGCGTAAGTGTAAACTGCATCTTCTGAATTACTGTTAAACAGAATAAACTAAATGGGTGCAATTATTCAAATAAATGACTTAGCGATGAGAACAGTCGTTATCGACATAAAGTCTGTACATGAAAGTTGCATGTTCAAGTGTTAGTGAGTTAGCCAGAAGCTGAATTTAAGTGCCAAATTATTTAACTTGAATGATCTTAGAACACACGTCTTGACATTAATCTAAACCAGAATCAAATGTTAGCTAAATGTACGGATATTTACAACATAATCTACTAAGTGCTTTCTTTACAGTCATCGCTGTTATTCCGGTAAAATGGTCCCATCTTTTTAGTTTCTGGTTTTGTTTCAAAACTAGAATGAGTTTGCAAATCACTTATCTTTAGTTCGATTTGATCAAAATAACGGTCTCATTTTTTTTCACATAGAGTGTTTGCGAAGCGTGCATTGATATATATTAAAACAGAGGACAGCGTGAAGGCGCGCTCTTATAGGCTACTCAAACACCGAATATCCTTTGTTATTCACCTTAGAGCAACGTACACTTTGCAGGAATGTATGAGTTAAAATCATCTTTCTTCTGCAATACTATAACACTGTTTTAGTTTATACTACAAAAATATAATATTACCATCAGAGTCGATGGAAAGTGGTGGCGCTTCGCTTCCTAGTAAATATCCCTCACTAGCCACCTCCACTTTGGTAAATACTCAGATTCTGAGTGAGGATATAATATGAGTTGTAAATTTCATCAGATCACGTCTGTAAACCTAATCCTTGTCACAATGGCGGTTCTTGTTTGGAAGAGGGATCCTCTTACCGATGCGTTTGTCAAGTTGGTAACCATGGAGACAGATGTGAATGTAAGTGAATTGGGATGACCTAAAATAATTACGTTCAAAAAATTTAAATTTAAAAAAGCAGAAATAAAGAGGATTATAGGAAATTTTTTCAGAAGAAAAAATGTGGGAATAAAGGAAGCACGAAACTCGACTATTGAAAGTCGATGACAGTTTGCAAAAAATGTAACTGTTCCTAATGGACACCAGTTTGTTTATCTGTTTGATTTCCTTGTTTTTCGATTTAATTTGACTACTTTCAGGTACGTTTGTTATAGAAAATGAATGTAACCTATTAATTCCTGTTTAGCAACGACGTTGACCACGTTCAGAGTTTGATCATTGACACTCTATCATGATTCCTGTCATCCTTATGTTTAATGCTGCTCCGCAACATTGATTAACTTTCGGCTTTTGCCTACATTTCTAGTAATGAGTGCCTGTTTATCACACCCTTGTCTCCACGGAGGAACCTGCGTGGATACATATTTTCTACACAACAATGGGGAATCAAATATGTACGCCGGTCCCTCTTTCGCAGATTATTCACAGAATGGAATGTCATACATTTGCAAGTGTGTTTCTCCTTTCTCTGGGCATAACTGCGAAGGTAAAACATAAACCATTCCTTTCATAATATTTGAATAGCTTATATCACTTAAACTTTGGTGGATATCCTTATTGTTGTCGGCTTTTTATCGCTATGTAATGTAGAAGGTGCTGTCAGATCCTATTCAGTTTCACCAGGCCTGCATGTGAGCCCCAGTCCCGCGGCGAGATATCTCCTCAGTTCTATACAATTAAGAAAACAATAGATTAAGTTTAGAGCAACTTTTTTTGCTTTGCGGTGAATACCATGTGGAACTTTCCAGGCCCACTAAAGAACAGCATCGACGGTTGCAGTGGCGCAGTACGGATAAATAAAACGATATTGATTCGTCGTTGCATGTCTTTTGGAGATGTTGGAAGGTTCTCGTATGTGCCAGACAATATCAAAATTTTTGGCATCATACTTAGCCTATTATCAAGCTAGCCACCAAGTTGCGCTAAAACTGATAAGCCTCAGGAAGAAACTGGCTTCAAAAAATAAGAAATAAATTAAAAAACTGATAAAACACCAATTCATTTTTTCCTTCACAAAATTAATTATCTTCAGGTATAATTTTCTTTTGCATTGGCAGATGATAGTTGTCGATATTGCAGTCCAAACGCAGAATGCATTTTGGGCCATTGTGTTTGCAGCGAGGGTTATCATGGAGACGGAAAAACATGCAAGAGTAAGTATCAGAGAAGAAAACTCGGTTTCTGTCTTAGAAGTTGTGGTTTCTATAAATGAACATAGGTTGTATTTGGGATAAGTAGCTAGTGCTATGTAGTTCAGTTGTTGGAGAATGCGACCACGAAATCGCTCGAATCCTCGAGGTAGAATCCAGATTTTCTACGTTATTTAAACTCCAAGACTGAATTCTAAAATCACAGATTAGATCTACACACGTGTACTTTTCACAGTAAGCGTGTTTGAATTTTTTGCCTGTTGTAAAAGGATAACTCTGTTGCTTGCAATTTCCATTAGGATCCGTTGAATCCTTATATGATTCAATTTTACGCAAAAAGTCATAGAGGAGAGACTGTTCGTACCTACCTTAAATAAATAATTTGCAATTTGTAGTTACTTGTGTTAAAATCTATATTATTGGGTATAAAAATAATACACTTTGCTTATAGAAAATGTTTGTCATCCTAATCCTTGTAAAAATGGTGGAGCCTGTCTTCCAACTGACTCATCTTATGACTGTGAATGCACGTTGGGATGGACTGGACCACACTGTGAAAGTAAGTGGAAGAAATCAACGCCATACTTTACAGTCATCGTTTTCTGAAATGGGTTTGACGTACAAGGCCAATTCAAAACTAAAAACGAACTACACGTGCTCTTGTCGCCGCGAGGAATGAAATGTAGGAATTTTCTTGGATAACAAAACAATACTTCTGCACTGAATTCAATTTTCTTCTATAAGCTATAAAGTACTATCTATAAAGCACTTTTAAAGTATTTTTTCAGAAATGCTAACACCATAGCCACTGAATACGTAACTTTCGGTTTTTCTTTTAGTATATTGGTTTTCTTCTCCTTCTAAGAAAGTTTGAACCTCACTGTCTGTCAGCGATACGGAATTTTTAGTGTTTTAGCCGCCATAATTCGAGAAAGCTCCGACAAACAATTTGTATTGAGAATTGTGAAGGCTTTGCCGTTCACTTATCAACCCGACCGAGTGGCTCAAAGGCGAGTGACGTGTCAGCGGCTGATTGGCTATATCAACACACGTAAAAAAAATACGATATTTTTCACTTGTACTGTTACGGTCTCTCTCAAGGCCGGAAATCCCTGTATAACACCGCAGCTTATGTGATAAAACAATGTTTTTTTCGGTAATTAATCTAGCTCGACAATACTGCGTTCCAAATCCTTGCAAAAACGGTGGAACCTGCATCCCTGAAGAAAATGGTTACAGGTGCAGCTGCCTCAGTAATTTTGAAGGAAATGACTGCGAAAGTAAGTGAATATCATCACATGATTCTTGAGTAACACTCCAGTGAGTGAACCTCTCACATTTTCAGACATCTTCATAATTCTCCTCAATGTCGCACTCTTTGTTCTGATGAGTGTTTTAACATCTTAGATCACGCTTCCATGTTTTCAAAAAGTGTCGTTCATTTTCTTAAACTTGTTACTGCTGTCCCATGAAAATAAACGATGAATCATTAGATGTAATTCTTTTAGCATTTGACTGTTACATTCACCTTTCTTTTTCTAAAATGGTGCAGATTTTTGGCCTTGAACAGCCAATAATTCGAGTTGACAAGTTTATTGCTCTCCGACTACAATTTTGATATTTTTCCTCAACGGAGTTGAAATCATTTCAATTTAGCGTCGTATAATATTACCTACATTATTTCTCATGAAGCCTAAAAACATCAAAACTGTTTTATTTTGTTGTATTTTTTCTACTCACGTCTTCCACGGGATTTTCCTTGAAAATTTTATTCATCTTCAGAATAAATTGAAGTCTGCATATTGTTCATAATTCATTATCATCATATTTACAGAGGCAAATCCTTGCTCCCCGAACCCATGCCAAAACTCTGGTACATGTAAAGAAATGAATGGGGTGGCAACTTGTGAATGCACTCCACAATACGAAGGGAATTTCTGCAATAGTAAGTGCACATACATGCTCAAAACATGACACATACAAGTCTTTGTTACTTATTTCTTAAGCACATGATTTTCACTTGTAGATTATACGGTCAGCTTGTTGGGGAGTTTAATTCTCAAACGCGCCTGTAAATGAACGAGTGTGAACTAAATAACTGCCCCTCGTTATGAATCACAGGAATCCTCAAAAACTTTTTTATCGGAAGCGAAAAGTAAACTGTAAAGTGCGTACTAACCAATCACACCAAAGTAAAAAGTAGAGACACACGCTAGTTACCGTTACTTCTGTTGGTTTATTTTTCTGGCTCCTGATTACATTTTTCCGTGGAACCCCCACACAAAAAAATTGCATAAAAATTTTTGCCATTCAGTGTCTTTTGAGTTTCAGAGTAAAGACACGAATCACTATAATGAATAATTTTGCTCATTACAGTTGACAAATGTGCCAAATGTGACTCGCATGCTCGCTGTGATAATGGCAACTGTGTTTGCATGGAGGGATGGGTTGGTGATGGACAAACATGCACACCCAAAGGAGGCCGTAAGTAAACCAACTTGGATATTAGTCTTGCTTTGAATTAAAAGATAATGGAATTTTTTTTAAGGAAATCAGCATAGATGAAATCAATTTTTCTAAAGACATTAAATGAATCCCACTAAATGGTGTAAAAAGGTCTCCTGTTCGTGGTCAATAGAAAATCGTTTAAGTGTAAAAAAGGCTGAAAGCATAAGGGTAAAAGTTCTATATTTGCTGCTTTTGCATTTGTGTTTTTCTGATTTGTTTTGTTTTATTTGTTTGTTTTTTAAAGTAAAGTTCATGCTTAACCTCGTAATATATCAAGAGCAATGAAGAACCATTAAAAACGTGTTTATTTCCAAAATAGCACCAGGAAGTGGAAGCATATCAGGAAGCAGCCCTCCTGGTGCTCCTGCCTCTAGCCCGATACCAAGTAGCCCTTCAAGTAGCCAAGGTGGCTACGGTCCTCCTGGTTCATAAGATCTTCCAACTAGCTAAGGAAGATCTTCCTCCTATTTTCTTCCACCGACTACCCTTGAGAGTTCGTTGGGGGGAATGTTGTGTTCTATCATTTCCCATGGCCTTTGCAACCGAGTTAACTTGATGACAGCAACAACTGTACGGTCAAGTGACCACGACTTGTAAATAGGAAAAGGACTGGACAATACTGGACGGAGAACACGACACAGCCGCCACATTACCACTTAGAGACAATCTGATGGACGCATGTTATGGAATGCAAAATAGGATAGAACACGATTCCAAAAAATAGATACTATGAAATATTTTAAAAAAACATAGCTTGCATCTCCTTATCATTGTGGTGATTAATATTTGAAGTGGTATGAGAATAATAAATTAGCCAACGAAAACTATGCGCAAGTTATTTTCGGTGGTTTTGCAACGCTTTCTTCAAAATTACTTCTTCCACTTACAATTATAACTGCGGTGTAATATTTGAAGAGGAAAATAGTATCCTTTTGGCCGGTACTCTCAATTAAGCAGATAAGGTAGTTAAAGTTCGGGCCTGATCTAGGAAAAAAGGGACACGCACACGACATGAGGATATCTGGTCAACTACTTAGATATATAAAGAAAAAAATCATATTAAGATATCGTGGTAAGAATGTTTCCTTTGCTCGTCTCTTCTATTTGTAAGTTACTATGAAAATAACTTGTATTTGCATTTGATAGTTGGCTCTTTGTCAAAATGACAGTATGAAAGGAAGCACTACATCATTCAGTTCTCATTCCTTTACGTGGGAGTTGTAATTTTTCAGTATCTACCTCACGCGCTCGATAAGATTTTCCTAGTCCTTGTCATAGCACGTGCACTTTGTGCTAGCGCTCCTTGCCTGCTCTAAAAGGGACCAGCAAAAGGCTTATCATTCCACTTCCAATTCTACACCTTCCCTATCTTTCCACTTGCCATTTACCTAAGAAGCTGAATTTTACATACATAGTAATTGATTCCTTCATATGATCTGTTGGAACACAGACGCAGAGATGACGTCATAACCAAACTATCCAATTGGGTTTGCGTTCTTCTCGTAAGCAAGTATGCTGCGGATACGCTAACTCGACGCAACCGTTCAGTTTTTTTGTAGCCGCGTATGTTGAATGAAACCCCTGATTGAGCTTCTAGTGAATATAACAACAATTAATGAATGCTGAGATAAAGAAGCTTCCACATACGACATGGACAACGTTTGAATCTTGATAATTTATCACTTTGCCTGTAACAAGATATTGCCATGTTCCTTACCACGCTTGTTTCTTTAGCCTAATAGCAATATCCTTTAGAATATTCTTCAACTTTTCACTTGATATTTTCCAATAATTATTTCCACAGAACTAGTATCGACGCAATTTTATATCTCAAATACACATTTAATGCAATGAAAAACCTTTTCATAACCGGTAGTGAGTTTACGTCACACATTTTATGACCGAGAATTCAGCAATAACAGAGAGAATTGTGGAAATTTGGTAGTCTACTGATCGAATGATTTAGAAGTCTAATTGCAACTTGAAACGATGCTGATTGACATTGCATAGTTCGTAAGCGGTCTAAGCAACTAGCGACAAAAATAAATGAGGCTGAGATATTTCCAAGAGAGGACAGAGATTTTGGTTATTACAAATAATAGCTGCCTTCAAATTGGACATCTATAAAAAAGGATGAAAATTGTCAGGGTGTATAATTCTAGAATAATAATTGTTGTTTATTTCAATTTACTCGATCCTAGATTCCCGTGATTTGAATCTTATTCTGACATCGAACTTGCTTATACTGTTTTTTTTGTCTCAAGCTTGAGCTGACGAGTTTCTGCTTTATTGCATACTATTTTTTTTTACGCGGTGTTTTCTTTCAGCACCCGGTTCACGCTCCAATCCATGCGATCCGAATCCTTGTCAAAACGGCGGCCAGTGTGTTGATCAAGATAATTCTTATCAATGTTTATGCCAAGAGGGCTTCTCAGGCACAAACTGTGAGTTAGGATTGAGGAACAACCCGTGTGATGCAAATCCATGTCAAAATGGGGGACAGTGCACAGCTGTAGACGGAAAACCTGTCTGTACTTGCCCTGAGGAGTTTGAAGGAGAATTTTGCGAAAAGCCTAAAGGTAAATTTCTATTATTAATTTTCAGGAACATTGCTAAAGAAGACATTGTCTCCCCATAGAATCATTGTTTTAAGAAAGATTGATTGATACTCAAACATAACTATTCGATGGGGGCATGTCACCATCGATAATCAGTATCCACCTTCTATTTTTTCTTATTTTCTTTCATTCTTCTTAATATAACATTTCATTTATGCATATCGTTACCAGCTGTCTATCATTTGTTTAAACACAGCATTCTTTAAAGTTTCAAAACATTTTGTTATCAAAATAATTTCAGCAGTAGATTTAAGGATACAGTGCACACCAGTGGGCCTGATCGATCTTATTCTTGGTTGTTAAGACGTTAAAGAGATAGCTAATGAACAATTGCTTTAGGTGGTAATCCTGTGGTTCCCGGGGGTCCTGGGACACCAGGCGGTTTAAAGGCTGCTTGTCACCCAAATCCTTGCATGAATGGAGGAACGTGTACGGAGAATGGAGGTGGATATGACTGTGCCTGCGTCACTCAATACAGCGGACCTAATTGTGAAAGTAAGAACCATTAATATATATTTTTTAATCTCAAAACCTTTGCGAGACTTCCTTTGTCGAAGCGCAAGGTTTAAGACAATAAATTGTTTAAAGAGTTACCATTTCATTCATATCTGTAACCATAAAAGTGGAGGGAATGCGTTTGTCATTGACGGACTTTAAAAAAAAAATTAAATTATGGCCACAGCCTTCTCCACAAACTTCTCTAAAGCATTTGTCTAAAATAACCAAAAAGGTGTCGCAGAGTTTTACATAATCATTCACACAATTTTCAGAACAAAATAATGCGTCTCTGCCTACTCATAATTTCGTGAGTACGGCAAATTGAAAATTCTTCGAAGCTTTTAGTCTTTCTAGTAAAGGAAAGGGGTTTTTAATTCATTGTTTTGGTCTCTTTGTTTGTTACTGGTTTGCAGTTGACGAATGTGAAAAGTGTGACATAGACGCGATCTGCGTTAATGGCCATTGTAAATGCAAACATGGATATTATGGCAATGGGTACCAATGCGAAAAAGGTAAAAAGAATGCCTATTTACTTGTCATATGCTTTCGTCTCCATTATCCAATATATAGAAAATATATATTGTTATCTAATGACAAACGCGGCATTTCTACCTTACTAATACAAATAACCCACGAACAAAGCGAGGTACATTTTTATAATCAGAGGTGAATTTTGTCCGGAAAGCTGTTTCGATGTATGAAGGAAGAACAAAGTAGAAGCTAGTATAGTTCGGTCAAGCTTAATCGTGAAAACCCCTGACCCAGGCCCTCGATGAGTTGCTGCTGGGATTTATTTCGCACAACATAATATACACTTATTGTGTGTGAGCTGCTTCATCGTGCTTTTCTCGAACTTGCGAAAAGGACTCGTCATAGTACGCATTTTTAGGTTTTATCTCAATTTGAGGCTACCAGACAAATAGTTTTTTGAAAGAGAACATCACCATTTGATATTCCCTTGTTTGTTGCATCAATGTTTATTGCTTCTTTTGCCGCAGAAAAAGATACTCAGTGTCAGGGCTGCAGTCCATTCGCTCAATGCCAAAATGGCATTTGCGTCTGCATTGAACCCTACCATGGGAATGGATATAATTGCAGAGGTGAGTGACACACCAAGAAATAGTGCAAGTGATTCTACTCTGAGTTTTTATGGCGTCTACAGGCGTCGACGGGCAAAGGGATTTGCGTCCATCATGTCGCTCGCCCTCAGGACGATGATTTTGGGGAAACTAGGTCTATAGAAAGGTTGTGCTAAAATCAAAAGAAAGGGTGCTTGCAGTAAAAAAAAAATTTTGTAAGAATAAATCAGTGGTCTTAAGTGAATAACTAAGAGATACTATCAATACAAGAAGACAAATTATTTTCTATAAATGGGAATAATTTCCTGTTTATTGAAATTAAGAACAATTTCTATACTCTATCTAAAAGGCACCGACTTAGCGAAGTAAAACGCAGTTGATCTATAAGTCCAGATCAATGATCATCATGTGATATACTCTGCCTTAATTACCTATGTATTATACTACCCTGATGCTCCTCGTCTGGTCTCAGACCCTGTTGTGTATGTATCTTCTACCGACAGATTATATATTTCGGCCTACTCCGTAAGGTCATTGCACAGATTTCAATTTCATTGTTATTTTTGCATCTAACTTTACTTACAATTGTTATCCTTCTCTACTCTTGATTTAGCTGTCAATCAGTGCAACAACTGCCCTCTACCGAGCACGTGTGTTCAAGGAACCTGCCTGCCTCCTTCAGCTGGGAAAAAGTAGGTTTGTACGTGGGATAACAACGTCAGTGCATGCCCTCTTTGGATTTACTAACAAATGTGAAACATTTGAAGTATTGAAAGAAAATAGGAGATGGAATTGATATGTCATGAGGTTAAATATTAATAAACAAAGAGAGGAAAGCCTCTTCGAAAGAGGAAACAACATCAAATTACGAATCAACAATTGGAAATAAAAACTTTATCTAGGAGATTGTTAGAGGAAGTAAGACTTTTAGGTTTAAGAACTCTTCCAGAATTCAAGACTTTCAACTTTCATTTGGTTAGTTAGAGAATTTTTCATGGATTTACCTTCTACATTTGAATGGTCTACACAGGAGTCTGAAGTAGAGGAAAAAGAACCTGTGGACAAAAAACGTCAGTGACGTAACAATCAAACGATACAGCTTGGACTTATTTCCGCACTGAGTCATATCCTGTCTTGTCTTTACAGATCACTGGTTAAGAATCTAGAAGAGAAACACACGTAAAGATGAGAAATAATTGCGCTAACTTCAGAAGAGATGATACGGAAAAGATCCCCCCTACCTTTAGGGACATCTACCTATCAAGACTGTAGTTTTGATGTAGTAAAGACTCTTAAAGCTGCTGAAAGTAGTTACAAATCTAGTGATGTAAGGAGACACAATTTAATGTGACGTTGACGACGGTATATTTGTAGTATCGTTGATATCGAGAGAACCATGACTGAGAGACAATGTTTCGCAGATATTCAACCTTTGAAAATCAATTTTGATCAGTTGTTTATTAACTTTTTAAAGATCAATATAGTTTGCAAAATTCGGATAGCCCATTTGTTTATCGTGTTATAAAAGTATTTTGTATATGTAACAAGGAAAGGTAGTTGTTAGCATGTGCAAGATAGCGATCCTGTTCCTTTTCTTTTGGATGTTATCGACGAGTAATTAATTTGCTAACTTGCGAATGTTAGGAAAACGGTTGCAGCGACATTACCATCAATAAAAATCTTGGAAAAAACGAAAAAAAGAAAAAAAAAAAAAGAAAGAAAACGAGTGATGAAACTGCATCATGATAGAAGAAACATTGATCCAAGGCAATTTGAAGGCTTCAAAACAAGATCCCATCATTGATGTCTCAAAATAGCCGCGCTGAAATACATCCTTGTTAAAGTAAAACAATAAAGTATACGATTTGAAATATGAGTTTTGTTGATTCAAAATCGTATCTGCATAAACTTGCTTCAATATTTGCCTCATAGTTCTCTCCTAATAAGTTCTTACTTACTTTTCTTCTTGGCTGTGCCTAAAGTATGCTTTACCAAGCAAAATACGGCAGCAATAAATATTGCTAGTAAAGGACTTGATACCTGCCACGGTTGTAAGTAATGAGAGCAGAAAAAGCAAAATTCATCAGCCCTATTATGTCTTCAAAGTCGATTCAGGGAACGCAATAATAAATTTAAAAGCGTGTTCTGGTCAGTTATACCAAAAACAGCAAAGTCTTGAGCACTAATATTCCTCCTAAACGCTTTGGTCGTGTTGGACAAACAAAGAGGATAAAACACCGTAAGGCACCTGCATATATATGCACAGATGTTTTGACATCGGTCACGTTCTGAATGGTATTCAGTTCGCAAACAAAATTAATCGAAATGAGGTTCAGGTTTTCATTGGATTAAAATCATATGCGAAGGAACCGGAATTTTGCTAGCTTTCGGGAGAATTTAAATTTAAATTTAATTCTTTCATTTCAATTAAAAACTTGCTTTTAAAACATTTCAAAGACAATACAATCATAGTGAGGTAATAATCGATAGAGTTTGACAGCGCATTGTCATCCGTGAATAGTAACACAGTTGCAAATAATGGACAATAAATTAATCTTATCTTCACCCTTGATTGCTATGGCAGGTGGCGTTGACTAGTACCTTAAATTAGGTCTTTTAAGATATTTTCAGTAAATAACAAGCGATGCAACTCCTTTAAAACTACTTGAATCAGTATGATGAGTTAGCCAACGAATAGGCTAGAAATGTCTCGTATTTATTCACTAGTAGTAACTTTCTTTGTAAAAGTTGACCCACTTATCCCACACGTCAAGATCCACTTACCCCGTGTATATCGAAGGGACTTCCAAATAACGAGGGTAAATTATAAGACCTCACCTTTTCTAATGTTTAACTGTTATTTCAGTAAGTGCATTCAGGTATAACGGCCTTTTACACGAATTTGGAAGAGCAAACTGCACAACTTAGTCAGAGGCAAAGATGAGCATTACATGTTTGGATTTGTTAGATTTGTAGCAACGTACTCTTTCATAATGAATTTATTCAATTGAGTAAAAATTAAAGATTGCAAAAGTTAGCCATGTTTCCATTCATCTGACTACTACCGTGGATGACAGGAGGTTTTCAAATTGATTTAATGAGATATTTTTCCCTTGCAAGAGTCTTTGGGCGGAACCTAAACATTAAATCACTGTAACCACTTTTTTAGTCACATGCTAACCTTAATGCCAAACTAAGGTTTAGATTCTCACAAACATGACTAATTGAAGAAGGAAACATCTTTTCCACTAATTTCTGGTGATGGCCGCAGCACCAGTGAGTTTAATCCATTGATTGAAGTATCACAAAAAACCAGCTTAGTTTTTTATTTGTTCCTAGTTTAATCCTGATAGTTTAATTACCTTGAACATGTTCATCAGCTCTCCCTTTTCAGAGAATTTTTCCATTAATTCGAATAATTAGTCTTTGTTATCAGATCAAGATATATGATATTATTCTCCAATAGTTCGTATTTGAAGAAAATCTACAAGCGCTGCCACTGAAGCAGAGCACCAGTTGATCCATCAATAATTTACTAGTTTAGGCGAGCGGGAGAGTGTATTTTTAACAATGGAATGATTTGTCTTCGTTGATGCCGTCTCTGAACAAATAACATGTAATATGTTTTACTTTAAACTTCTAGCTGTATACCAACTATTCTGCCTTTGTTGCAATCCAAGCCTTCTTGTTGTTGGTAAACGGCAGAGTGTAACCCTCAAGGAGACCAAAGCCCATGAAGTTGAAAGCAAAGTCCACAAAGTCAACGTTGGAGGGGCAAATAACGACAGCTTTACTGCTAAAGAGGACAGTATTATTGCAAATTCCACATCAACGAAGGCAGTAAAAGACGAGAGTGGAAGTCGAAGATATTTTTTCCCACACCCTTTGAATGTAATACCGCCGCCATTCGCAAATCATCACATTCACCTGGTACCAAAGCCGTACCCTGTTGTGTCCGTTCAGTACGTCCCAAGGCCATATCCTGTACCATACCCAGTAGCGCCTCATGTCCACGTCTCCCATCTTCATCTTCGCCCCAAATGTAAGTATAAAATGATTATTTAACATTGTGTAAAGAAAAAGAGGTGAAGGTGAAAGTTCTCACTGGGTGTAAACAGGTGGTAAACTCGCTCGTTCGGAGAAGGTTCCTCTACACGCGAAATTCGTCTGTTTCGGTGTCATCTTTTAAGTAGAGATGATTAAGTCCAGGCCGTAGATATCCCTCCTTGAAGATGAAATTTCAAATTTGTACCATAAATACTGAATAATGTGTTTGATGACTTCGAGCTCAAATAATATCTCGAATGATGAGTGATTTATTTTTCGCATTTTGCTTTACTGTTGAACTTACAACCAGTTTCAAGGTGTTTCAACTATTAAATTTAATGTTTTCACATTCAATTAGGCGTACAGCCCAAGGTGTAAGTTTTAATGATGACTTTCTAGATCATTTACTGAAACAAATCCCGCATTTTGTTATAGTTTTGGTTGAAAAGCACAGCGGTAGTTCAAGAGTGAATAGAGAACAAGAAGTTAAAATGCAATTATTTCAGTTAGTTATAACGAACGTGAATACATCGCAACTAAGTGGAATAATTTTAGTAAAAGCAATCCTTTACTGTCTGCCATGTTCCATTTAGCAGCAAATTAAGCGGAAAACAAACTTACTACGCCGGACGGAAACAGAAATTCCTTCGATGTAATTCTTAAAATTAATATTGTAATTTTCTTATTTCTGCAGACCACCTAAATCCGTGCCAAAATGGAGGGATTTTCGTAAAGCTACCCCATGAATACTTCTGTATTTGTCAAAAAGAATTTCGGGGCAAGAACTGTGAAGGTAAAATGTTTTACGTCTGTTTAAGGTAAATATTTGTTTTTCCTTATACAGTATCACCAGTTTGAGAAACTAAAAATCTTCTCTCTTTTTTTTCCTGTTTTTCTCCCAACCGTCTCCTTCTAGATAGAAATTACTGCGCTTCAAGCCCTTGTAAGAATGGAGCTACATGTACTGAGATTTCTGGCGCATTTAAGTGCAGTTGTCCTCATGGATTTCTCGGGGTGGTATGTGAAGGTATGAAAACACTTCAACTTGATACTGAAATGAAGTATCACTTAAGCCGAACATCTAGATAACCATTGAAACCTCAAAATATCTCCACGGGTTTTTTTTTTCAGTGCATGAAGTTATTTTCACTGTTAGCCATAGGAATTCTTCGCTATATTAAGACAAAGTAACATTTTTAAAAAAAACGTGGCTAAAAGTTTGAAGATGGTCAAGCGCGGTGTTCTTAAATAATGGCTAAACTTTGTTGAAATAGTCGATCTTACTCTTTACCATCGTAATGTGAAAGGCAGTTTCTTAACACAACCTTAACATCACACCTCGATATAAAAATATATTGGAGGCTCTTAAGGGAAACTTCAAGTATAACTAAAAGTATTGCGCTGGAGATAGAGCTTGGTTTCAGTTCGTCATCGGCTTTTAAGTTTTGATGAGTCACTTGATAAACGACTCAATGAACCATTTTGTTTTTCACCCTGGTTACCTGTCGTTTGATTCATGTTACAGAGCCTAATCCTTGTCACCCAAACCCTTGTAAAAATTCGGGGGTATGCACTAGATCGGATTCTGAAGAAAAGTTCTCCTGTATCTGTCAAGAAGGATTTAAAGGAATACATTGTGACTGTAAGTACCACTTTGAAACAATGACTGCTGTGGTTCGCTCATAGTGTACTTTCGGTTAAATCCTTTTACAGTCACAAGACTAAAACGTAGATTGTGACTAGTTCACTAACTAACATGCTAAATAAATGATTAAATGATGCCATTGGACTGACTAGCTTACCAAGTTGCTAACCAGCTAATTGATTAACAGACTAATTGACAGACTGACTGACTAACTAACTAAGTAGCTAATTAGCGGTCGATAGATCAGACAGACTAACTTAAAATTGTCTAATATAAATTTCAAGCTAATTCGCGGTATGGAGGTTATAAATTGCACATCTGTTTGAGTGGGCCTGGGGTATAAATTTTCTGATTGACTTCTCTTCTCAGCCATAAACAAGTGTGATCCAAATCCTTGCAAAAATGGCGCAACTTGTCAGCAGACTGCTGGTGATAATTACATCTGTATTTGTCCTCCATCTTTCAAAGGAACTCTATGCACAGGTAAGGCTTATAATAGCAAAGTTCATTATTCTAAGCAAAAGTTTGAAATTTTCTGCATTTAAAATCCAGAAAACCTTATGCCAAAATTCCTTTTCGGGTTTTAAGTGATCTTTAAAAAAGAATTGAAATTTATTTTTGGACTTCTAAAGTAAAATAGGCTTGAAACCTTAAAACTAGATTGTATAGCCTCACAGGTGTAATTAAATTAATTCATAATCATGACGTTTGTTCATCCATAAATTTTTAGGGTATGAATATGACATCAAGATGTTTGCATATATGTACCATTTAGCATCCATGAAAATATTGTTATCGCTCCTCTCTAATCGAACCAACTGCTTTGATTCACTGTTTAAATGTTTGGTACAGCGACTCTACAGATTTTTGGCGTAGAGGAAGCATTTTCATGCCCCACGTCTTTCTGTTCTTATAGAAACAAAGCAATGCTATACCAACCCTTGTCTTAATGCCGGAACCTGCCACGAGGATGGGTTTGGATATAACTGCACTTGTAGACTGGGATACACCGGAAGCAACTGTGAAAGTAGGTTTTCACCCTATAAAACAGATAATAACAACAAACAATAAGCCGAATCTGAACCTGGCCTCTCGAGGAAATATGTCCACGGTTATGCTTTTACTTAATGAAAAGAAAAGGCTTCCTTTTTGTTTATTTTTTCTGGAAGACTTAGCTTATAGCCTGGAGACTTTTCTGGCGTGATGGCTGGCGAGGGTAAAGTCCGAATCAGTTATCATGTACAGAAATCGAGAGCGAATAATCGAATTAGTCTATTATTCAGATCTACTTGTCCTTCCATACATAACAACAAAACAGGCTCACGTCTCTATCTTGTACTGTTTTAAACTACACAACGTTAGGCTACCAGCTTTAATTATCATTTATCATGATATAGAATACTTAGTAAGGTGGCAAATCAGACTGCAGCGTTTGGGATAGAATGCTAGGAGATTGATACTAACATTCATCATGCAATAGTTATGGAATGATTTTCCTTTTCATGATTGACAGGTCATGTGTGTCACCCCAACCCTTGCTTGCATGGTGGTCACTGCAGGGTATCTTTTGGACATTCCAAGTGTTTTTGTCCTCCTCTGTTTAAAGGAAATAAGTGTGAAAGTACGTAGATATATATATATATATTTTTTTCTTGCACTTAAACGTTTCCAGTTGCTAAACAATTCTAGATATGAAGATAACCTACTTTTTCTTCGCACCAGATCAGTTTTACCCCTCCATCCCAGTACAATATCCCACTTTATTCTCTTATTGTGCAGTGGGAAAGGGTGTTATAGCAAAATGCAGTCCTTTCTATACTTTATTCTTAAAAATTCCCTAAAAATAGTGACGTAAATAGCGTGTGGTATTTAATTTTGTCGCAGATAGTGTTTTTGGCAACGCACGGATGATATGAAAATTTTACCCACTTCTTGAAACGGTTCTTCTTTCAATACTTTTTTCAGTTCCTCATCCATGTTATACCCGACCGTGTTTAAATGACGGTATCTGCATCGACTCTTATAGCGGTTACAACACGTATCCTGAAAATTGGAATCATGGCCACCTACATTACCTATGTATTTGTCGCTCGGGCTATACTGGGTCAAACTGTGAAGGTAGGAGGTAGTCACACGACATAGGAACCCAAGAATCTACACCGGCGAAAAAACAGACACATTCACAAGAAAATGTTTTAAATTGTTAATTATATATAGAGGCGTATGGGAAATGTACCGTAACGCTTTTATCTATCAAAGGTCAATAACCGTCCATTAGAAATCATAAAAAGTAGAGGCCTATGGCTGTCTTAGAAACGCTTACACTCACCCGTCAGAGTGCACCGAACATTTGATCAATTCCGAATATGTTGAATGCTCCGTTAGATGAAAAAAAACAAAACCAAATAAAACAAAACAAAACACACCACAAACAGATTGATATGTAGTGAAAAATCATAACTGAGCGAATTAGTCTATCAAAGTGTAAAATTCGATAACTTAAGTCGAAGGAAATCGAAATTGAATTTGGTGAATCTAAAGTGTTTCTCTACTTTTCAAATTTTTTCAGTGGACATCTGTAAGCATTGCGACATAAACGCAAAATGTATAAATCAGACTTGTCTTTGCGTGGAAGGATATTATGGCGATGGCTTTACCTGCAAAAGTAAGTCTCCGTAGTCATTTGCATCTTTTTTATCATTGTTTTAAAAGGATTGGAATCAGCATCCTCATTTTTATACAAAATCAATTTTTAGGCGACCATACTCGTGGATAATCATTTCACTACCATTATTTTTCATGAATAAATGTCGGATTCGCATTTACGATATCCACGATATCAAAGGAATAGCACGTTATTTTTCTAAACAAAATTACTATTTACTGGAGGAATGATTACACTCAAACGCCGACGAAAACAACCATAAGACGGATGCATAGCCTGCACTCTTAAGAACCTCGTAGGCGAAGGAACGTGCCGCAACGCCAAAATGAAGAGTTACTAGTAGGCTAAGGAGCGCAATGTAAAGACTTTACAGAACTGTTTTTCTTCCTTTGTTTCTTGTCTCTTTCTGTTCATTCAGAAATTCCGCATCCTTGTCATCCAAATCCTTGTAAAAATGAAGCTAAATGCAAAGAGCTTGGTGCTGGAGAATATGACTGCGAGTGTCCTCCAGGAACAAGTGGCAAGCACTGCGAAGGTAGCTGTATACTTCCTTTTACATGTATATGCGAATTCTTTTTCCTTGTCACATTTATATCTTATATCACACTTCTGTGTAACGGGTGTCCTTTTTGATGTATAAGCAACCATTTTGTCTTGATTTTATCATACCTTAGAAAAGGATGCCTGTACCCCCAATCCTTGCAAAAATAATGGAAAATGTATTCAAACTCAAGAAGGCGGCTTCAAATGCGTTTGCGAGAATGGATACACTGGTACAAACTGCGAACTTCGTAAGTAAACCTTTTTTCATGCCAAATCCAATTTGTGTGGGTGACATTTGAATATTTTAGAGACGCCCGCGTATGTCAAAAAAGCGATATGTGCAACCGTAAAGTGTCACCTGATTTCTATCATTTCTCAACTGGTGTATGCACAAAACTGATCACAAAAATGTATATCAAGGTCTATGATAAGAACTGGAGTACGTATAAATTTTCTTAGACTGAGATACTGATAAGCATGATTTTAATAAGATATCTTCCGGAATCTAGTAAAAAATTCATAATATCAACGTGTTCACATGACAATTGATTAAAGGTGCTCAGTAATGTGGTATGAATTCAGCATCTGAATTGTTGCATGTAATCGCTATTGTAGTTTTCGAAAGGTTCGTGGTTTTCTCTAGCTTTCAAATTGCAAACTTAGTGGTTTTGGGAACTCTCTAAACAAATCTTTCTTAAGATTCAAGAAACGCTTCTTGCCCTTTGAAAGTATAGCTGAACAATCGAGCCCAGCAGTATTAACCTGCATCCTTGCTTTCCTCACTTTTTGAACCTCACTTTATATGTTGTCTAATATTGTGCTTCTGGCCAGCTTTTATGCATTTGTGGTCACGACGAAACAAGCTCCAATAAATTCTCGTTTTACCTGACAAATGGTAAACATGGCCTGCATGAAATGATTTTGATTAATCCGTTCACTTAAGTTATTTTTTCACTGGTTCACAAAAATCTATGATACATATTTTTAGCTATTGATGGGTGCCAAAGTGATCCGTGTCAGAACGGAGGAACTTGTCAAAGTGAAAACGGAAAGGTGGTTTGCAAGTGTAAAGGCAAGTTTACTGGACCAACTTGTCAAGGTGAGAGAATGTGATACTGCTCAATTCTATGCGCTAAAAGAATGCAACGTCTTAGGTAATTTTTGTAAAGGAAAACTTTGCTGCGGCCAGAGACTAGGCTTCTAATTCTTTCCAAAATCATCTTAAGTGATGATCACTTGCTGATTGTCTCCACGAGTACCATCGATACTAAACTGCATTTTTATGCTACGAATTCTAAGATTTTTGTTTGGTTTTAAGAATGTGGATGTCCAAAAGGAAACCCCTCGGCAAATCCTCCTCTTTTCGCACAGAAATGTGACGCCGAAGGTGATTGCTACTGTGAAGATGGATTGGATCTAAGAGACGACGGATGCGCTAAAGGAAGTAAGTAATGAAGCATTTTCTGTTTATCATGGCTGTCAAGTGTAATTTTTCTTTTACGTAAGTGGAAAATCATACTCAACTCTTTCAACTCGCACAGGAACAAATAATCCCTGCCTATCCAACCCCTGTCAGAATGGAGGAACTTGTGAGGATATCAATAGTAACACAGCATACAAGTGTCGCTGTCCAGAGGGATACACAGGAACCAATTGTGAAAAGGGTGAGAAATTATGCCATAACTATCCACTTTAAAAGCAGTTATAACAACAAACGACGTAAATGTCTCATCTTCACCCGAGGCATGTGCATAAAATGTTTCGTTTCCCATCACCTCGTCTCACACGAAAAAGAAATAACAACGAAGGAAAGAAAAGAGAAAGGGGAACTGACTTCATGAGCGCTGGAAAAGCCTGGACGCCCGTCAAAATGTCTTAAACTTTAACGATATGATATACATATTAGAAAACTGGGTATAAACGACCTTTGTCTAAATTAAAACCTTGAACACATGTTTTTGGATAACGCAGCAATTTCAAGTTTAAGCAAATAGCGGCCTTTTGGGCTATCATACAGTGGATTGGAAAAAAAACCAAACAAAAATGAGTCGGCAAGGAAACGAAATTGTGAAAATGACCAAGATGTGAATCAGTCAGACATATATAAAGCTACTAACTTTACCCTTGCGAGAAGGATTGAGCCTATCTCAATGAACAAGTACATTAAAGAGATTTACTTGAGCTCCTAAAAATGAGTCTGATCAATCTTTTTCGTTTTTTATGTTCTTTTCGACAGCGATTTGCTCACCCGGTTATTGTCTGAATGGTGGAATCTGCAAACCTGTTGGGAATACGCCAACCTGTATTTGTCAGCCTGGCTACACGGGACTAAGATGTGAAAAACCACCACGTACTGTTTTTTTTGTTTGTTTGTTTGTTTGTCCTTTTACCTATATCACCACTTAATTTCGATTTGCAGCTAAACATCTGTGAGAAATTTAAAGCAAGATGCGCTTGAAATGACTCAGGCGCGATTGCAGTCAGGAAGGCACGGCTTTGAATCCTGTCGAAGCCTAAGTTCTTTCAACCATGTTTTCTGTTGGATTAATTAAGATGGCAGCCTTCGCAGACTATTTTTAGCACATTTAAAAGCAGTTTTCGAAAGAGTAGATTAATGAGTGGGCTCTTAAAAAACGTTCAATTTTTTTGTATACTTTAAACTGGTGATGACAAGCATTCTTTGGGTTTCAGAAACACTCTCCCTTTTGAATTAAAAAACTCGTCCCAGGTTGACGACAATGCAAAGTATTCAAAGATGTTTTTGACACCCAAAGGCTCCGACCCAATGATAGCCTCAAGTATTGAGTGTTTCATGAAGTACCTAACCGGTTGTTGACAGGTATTATGGGAAGCAAACAGCTAAATAAAATCTCGTTCTTAAAACTCGACAGGTGTTATGGTCTGATGTCATATTTTTACCCATCAAATGGACTTTAAAGTAGTGCTTTCTTTCTTGTACATCTCACACGTTTGTCTCACCGACTTTGTAACAGCTATCAAGCCCAAGGACTACTGTCACCCTAATCCCTGCTTAAACAGCGGTAGTTGTGTTCAGGTTGTCGGAGGATATGACTGTCACTGCGATGAGCAATATACAGGGGCCCATTGTGAAGGTACGAAACCGAAACTGTTTGTCTCCTTTTTTTTGTCTTCTGAAGGTGCTAAGCTTCTCCAGTTGTTAATTTAATAAACGCTAATTTTACTTTAATTTGTGGACATTTAAAAAGAGGGGCAGTTTAACCCTTTTGAAACTGGACGAAGTTCCGGGGCTTACTTGCCAAAGAATGACATACAGAAATAATTGATATACTCATATAAGAGTGGCTCTTTGCCACATAAACTTAGAACAATCTCTGGTATCATTGTGAGAGAATCTCGTGTCTGTCAGCAGTTAAGATAGTTTTAAGCTCAAAATGCCATCTTCAAAATCAAAAATAGTAAATTGAGCACTTTATAATGTTTGTGCTCCTTCATTTTACAGTTGATAAGTGTGCCAAGTGTGATGTGCACGCCTTGTGCGTCAGAGGCCGTTGCAAGTGTGTGCCTGGTTACATAGGAACAGGGTATCAATGTGTAAAAGGCAAGATAAAAGTCAAATTTTAATTCAATGCTAACAACCTGCACGATCCAGTATTTACTCGCCAGTTTAAGTTATTTTAACCATCAAAACAGTCTACAGTACGTTTTCCTTCCATTTTTGCAATTAACTTACCTGTTTCTCAAGACTAAATCCGCATACTGTATAGATGGTACAGTGTAGGAACACTTTATGGTGAAAATAGGGATTAGGTTCAACTCGTTGCAGACTAAGAGTTGAAGTTTTACCAATATATTTCCCGGTTTATATAACCGTCTGAAAGGTGCAAGTGACGTCGTTGACTTCATTTGATAAAGCAGTTAAGATTGAATAGAAGGCTAAAAATACACCATTGATTTTAATTTGCTTTATAGCTCGTCACAAGCGCTGCCCGACAATATGTCCAGTCTATTCAACGTGTTTACAAGGAGCTTGTCAATGTCTACCGGGCTATCAGATGCAAGGAAACACCTGCATACGTAAGAAATATGGTTTCAGACTGAACTTTCACCTTCCTTAATCAAAGAGTAATAAGTAAAAATTTGGATTTACTTAATTTCTTCTACCTCCAAAGTAAAAAGTGCTTGGGATATAGATTTTATTTGTGATGGCTTGAAATTAGAACGTGAAAAAGCTTAGAAATTACCCAAGAAAGATCTTTACTTTGCTCACTAGATTGCTAGATTCGTCATACCGGTATCATTTTGGATTTAATGAAAATTTTACTAAGTTCCACAAATTCGAGTAATTCCAAAGGTTCTTTCAGCTCCGTTGCCTCCACACCCACCACCTCCTCCAATACAACCAGTGCCATCACCACTACCGCCGCCTCCAGCCCCTCCAGTGTCTTCCCATCAGTATGGTCTCCCTGCAATGTACTATGCACCATACAAACGAAGTAAAACTGATGGGAAAATGAAATACTAAATAGTCTGCACGACTGACTCAATCTGCTAATTGTAAGTTTAAGATGCTTAACATTTAATAATATGAATATTGCAAAGGCCGCTAGCTTTACGTCTTAATGTCCGTTGAAAAGGAGGGGCTGATACCAATATTTGTTCGGGGCTGCTCTGCTCTTTTTCAAACTCATTTAACCCTCAACAACTCAGCTATCCCTTTTACTAAGCAGTGGTGGAGGTGATTGGAGGAAGGTTACACGGACTGCGACATAAAAACATAAAATGAATAGGTATACATAACACACACATCACAACAGGGCTCCTTGACACGTTGAAACACTAACAACACATGAAAGGTTATCACTGACGATGAAAAACGTAGCCACAACATCTACTCTCTTTTTTTTTTTTTGTTTGTTTGTTCTGTTTTGTTTTGTTTTTAACTGTGACGTACAGGTGTGACAGTTTACGCAATACACAACGGTGAAAATGAAGAGGAAGAGGAGGAGGAGGAGGAAGAAGAAGGAGAGGAAGTCGAACCTACTCCTCCAATTCCTAGTACAATTAACCCGACACAATCATCCTCAGCGCCAGTTCCGGTACCATCCCCACAGCCGCCTGCTACAACTCCAGTTCCACTACCACCGCAACCATCCCCACCTCCCCCTGTTCCTCCACCGCAACCATCGCCACCACCCCCTGTTCCTCCACCGCAACCATCCCCACCTCCCCCTGTTCCTCCACCGCAACCATCGCCACCTCCTCCCGTTCCTCTCCCGCAGCCATCCCCACCTCCCCCTGTCCCACCACCACAACCATCCTCTCCTCCCCCCGTTCCTCCACCAGTACCATCTGCACCACCACCTGTTCCCCAGCCTTCCGCGGCTCCACCGCCGGTCGCACCTGCTCTTCCACCGGCACCCGGTCCACCACCTCCAATCAGCAGTCCATCTGCTGCTGCTCCACCCTCTCCGACATCTTATGGGCCGCCTTCCATGGATTATCCTCAGTATTCTGACTATCCTGTAAACTATCGTTACCCACCATATTACAGGTCGAATTACAGACCATATTACAGGTCGAATTACAGACCATATTACAGGGCTCTGTATGGTTATTAACATGTTGAAAAGAATAGTTGCATTCGAGGAAACTATTTTTCTTGATTGAAAATTTCGTTTTACTATTTCATATTCTTACTATTTCCTTTGTACGTGATTGATTTTCAGGATAAAAAGGACTGAAAGAAGAATCAACACAAATTGCATCAAGTAAATTCCGAGCTGATGTGATAGAAAATAAGAAGGAATTAACCGAAAGATTTATTTTGATAGCACAATTCATTATTCACACAACAATATAGATAAAAAGCTTGGTCAAATATAATTCGAAATTAGTAAATAGTGTAAATGAAAAAAAGAAACAAACAAACAAAGAGTGTCATCTAAATTATAAAGTCTTCTTTAATAAAGAACTATTTGTTGACATCTTTGAGATTATATTGCGTGGGATTGTTGATACTGTAATTCGGCTTTGAATCTTTTCTTCTGTCTAATCGTCGGCGTGGATTTCAATAAAAATACATGGCCTCAAATATATGTTAACTTCAAATATAGAGGCCGCGTGTGAATGTTAGTAACTTACGGTAAATTCGAAACTTAGTGGTATTGTTAAAACACGTAACGGTAACCAAACGAACAGAAAAGAAATAATGTCAGTCTGCAGCAAATCCGTGCTCACTAAAAATGCAAAACGGATGGTCATTGGGCGGTTGATAAAAGCACTAACAGGGTAATTTTAACCAAAAGGTGCGTTATAACGCCTAGCCCGACAGCAAAAGCACGCCACCTGTCCTCATTCAACAAGAACTGTTATAACCAAACAAAACCCGGTCTGCAACGTCATTTTGAAATGCGGGCGATATATTAGTAAAGAGGCTTACCAGTGTAATGTCGCTTATCAGCGGGTCAGATCACGAGAGAGAGACCAGTGCATACGTTGTAATTATGCAATTGCCTTTTTTTCTTAATGAACATCACTCTTTTTCATTCCTCTGTTGCGAAAACTGTTTTCTTACCAATTTGAATAGACTATGATATTCCTCCAGTGTATAAGCCTTTTAGCCCTTAGGCTATGATTTAAGAAAACTATTAGACTCAAAGAATAAATGGCAAAATCGAAAAAATATTTTTTTTAAACAAAGGATCATGTTAAAAATGATTTAGAAAGGCAGCGTCTCCTATGTATATTAAAAGTATCTTTCTCTTTCCACTTAATCAACTTGAGATTATCAAGATAACCTTCTGAAATTATTCTTTAAAATTTATTTCACCGTTCTCAGTATATAAATGAAACAATTATCGTGCTAAAGAATATCAAAATGCCGTCGAGCAGAGGAAAGGAGACAAGTCTAAACTATCTATTCTACCAAGAAACAACAAATGTTACCCCCCTCGAGAGAGTGCATCAAATTGGAAGGAATTTAAATGAATCTTTCTTCAATATTTTCTCTAAAGAATATCAAAATGCCGTCGAGCAGAGGAAAGGAGACAAGTCTAAACTATCTATTCTACCATATTATTATATATAATATTTTATTTTAGTTGTGTGGGTATTTGTGGAACTTCTTATCTTGGAAGAAAAAGCTAACTTGACCCGGAAAAAAAGGAATACTTAGAACCAGCCGTTTGGGAAATTAAACTGGTGACTGTCCCAAAAAAGGTTTTCTTGTCTTGTTTCGCATTGTTTATGAAACAGGTCACTCGATTGCTGTCTTCATGAAAGGAGGTTCTGAAGCAAGGAATTAGCATCAATAAATCATGAACCAAATGACTTTCAACTAATAACTTCACGAAAACAGTGGACTTTCAATTTGGCAATCTTCAAAAGGGAGTCAAAATGCGTTGTTCGGCCCAACAGTTGGCTGTGCTTTGTCTCATTTGTTTACCCTCTTTAAGCTACGGAAAATTTACAGCTGAGAAAGTATCTCGCAAGCATAGCACAGACAAAGTTGGAAACAGTACTCCAAGAAGACTAAAATCCTCGAGGTCTCCGAACCTGTCCAAGAAGTCTAAGGAAACAGGTGTAGCGGTGAAAGGAACACGAAAGAATCTTCTCAACCCTTTAATTTCTAGTTACGAAGGACCACACTTCTCCGAAGCTCCGTTACCAATTCACATCGAGCATATCAAAGATTACCCGGTTGCTGTTCCAGTCAAGAAGGAAACTGCTGAACACATTTTACATGTGCATATTCATGACAGTGAGTTTGTTTTCTCATATTAGATTTTTGAAACCAATTTCAAAACACTTTGGGTTAATGTTCATAGATAAAGAAATAATTGAAAGCCTGACGCCTCTTTGTGTAGAACATGAAAACAATTCAATATTTAGATAAAAGACGGAAAATTAAAGAAGAACAAAAGGACTCAATAGGACCACTTACTTTAGGATTGAAATTTGTGTTGAGACCCTTAGTTTGTACTTTGAACGAAGCGCAAACTTAAGATGTACTGTCTTCATACATCTCGCACAAAACCGGTTCAGAGTCAGATGAGATTGAATCAGGCTCTCGTATTTCAAACATGTATTTTGTATGCTTTTTGATTGAGTAAGTGCAATCTCTTTCATTCAATATCCCATTGTTTTGTTAAACAACTGGTTCATAGAATAAATCTCGTGGATGATTATTCAACCTTTTTGTCTTGCAAAGTTTCAAATGCACCTAACCATTCCAAAAATTCTTTAAACGCGATCATGTATAGCTTGTTATCTTTTCAGAAAATCCTTGCAAAAATGGCGGAGTACTTTCGGGAGAAGAATCAGGAAATTATCGCTGTATTTGCCCACCTCAGTACGTTGGATCCACTTGTGAAAGTAGGTTTTCCCTAAAAAGAAGGACGGCATGTTTAGAGATAATCAATTCTAACAAGTTGGACATTGGCGTAGTGAAATTAGAACTGTGAATCGTTGACACTTTCGTGCAGTCAAGGAGAGAGTCAGTAACTTTCGTATCGTTAACTCACCAAAAGACACACTAAGTCAAACAGGCAAATACTTAATTCAAGTACCGTGATAACTGTTTGAGTTCTCGTGTAGGTGTGAATCTTAAGAAAATATTATTGACCATATTACTTGACATTGCGTTTAATGGCTGATTAACACTCTGACCTAGACCAACATTGTTTCAAGCTGTAACTTTTTGTTATTTAATAATGTCTTGATTCTGATTTTATTCATTTTCTTAAGTACAACAGCACTGTTTTTCTGAACCATGCAAGAATGGAGGAAAGTGCTTAGAGATTAGCAATGGTTATAAATGCACATGCCTTGCTGGTTTCACAGGCAATGACTGTGAAGGTAAGAATCAATTAATTAATGAGAATAATGGCAATGTTTAATGTGTTATATACAAATTCTTGCGTTTTGTTTTCAACCCAAATGAGGTTTTTGTTGATTCCTCACAATATGGCAATTGTTTCAGACAGAGCCTTTTGCTCCCCTAACCCTTGTGAACATGGAGGTACATGCGTTGAGACTCTTCAAGGCTATAAATGCGTGTGTCAAGACGGTTACAAGGGGGATAGCTGTAAAGGTAAGAGGAAAAACCTTGACCATTCACAGTAGATTTTTGTGGGGGTTTCATTTGAAATTTAGTTGAAGATACACGTCTGGACAAACTAGAAGAATGTTTGAATTCGTTGGTAACCACATATTTTGTTAGCACGCATTGATGATGGATTGGGTGCAAGATATTCCAATTATAAAGATTTCAATCGGTTCCTTCCGTTTAATGTGCAAAGCATTCTATTAGATACAAACGAGGTCGCACACCATTTTAGCTGGACGCCAATAAATTTCTCTGGATGAGTCAAACAAAATTATGTTTGGCTGAAATCAAACATTCTCAGGCAAGCTTCTTTTTGAAAAGTAAACCGTTGAAGAAAAGCTTAGTTTTAAGTCTATGAAAGCTGAATGAATATGATAAATTCTCAAATTTAGACAATGTTTTATCGGAATAGATACTGATGCTTGTTGGCCTAACCCTTGCCAACATGGCGCAAGCTGTGAAACCATAAATGGTTCCCCACGCTGTCTGTGTCAACCGCAATATCATGGAACTTACTGTCATGGTAAGTGAGCGCTATGAACGCGTAACTGTAGCTAAGTGATAGCTAAATATTGCAAAATGGCGTTTTTTAGCTTATTCATTACGGGATAAAGATTAAACCTAAATTGAAGCAAACTACCAGACATGGACAGCTCAAGAAACATGTTTTTAGTTTATTTTAGATATTCTTTGAAGCAATCTCATCAACCAGAACGGTCAGTTCGTTTAATATAAACGAGGTTAATAAAATTTCCAAAGGATTTTAGGCGTTTGTATGCCTATTGTATCGACGGCATTGGAGTTCACGGCCGCGTGGACTTAAGAGATATTTAAAAGAAGCGTATGGTCGCTGTGCATGTCCAGTTCAATCTGTGCAAGCCGTAAAGCGGTCAAATGCCATTTTTACCCACTGTGAAACACTTCGATGTGTTTTAATTATGCACTTTTGATTTGTCTACCTTGGCTTGCAGTCAACAACTTTATCACTTGGTTCTCTGCTGCTTTCCTGCCTTAGAAATTCATCAGTATCGATCTTGTATTATTTGTTTCTCAGAGAGATATATCTGCTTCATGAATCCTTGTCATAATGGAGGGATATGCGTAGAAAATCCTTTGGCCCCTTGTCTTTGTCCAAATGGATACGTAGGAAAATACTGCATTGGTAAGAATTTTTTCTGTTACAGTAATCATATACTATACCTTATATCTCAAAGGAAAAAACATGCTAATTTGAAACACATCCTTTCTTCCTAAGATCACGTGTGTCGACCAAATCCATGCCTGCACAAAGGCACTTGCAAAGTAGTAGACCATTCATCGGGGTCCAGGAACAAGAGATGGAATTATCGCTGCACATGTCCGGAATGGTATCGAGGGCATATTTGTCATAGTAAGTATAGATAATAAGAAAAAGATAGCACTCTGTATTAAAGCATTTTAGGTTATTCGTTTAACAACATTTGAGTGAAGTGCTCTGTTCAACGCCTGTTATCACCGCCTGTTATCACTACGTATCAAAGCATTTTCAGGTTTTTCGTCTAACAATATTTTAATGAAGTGCTCTATTTACCACCTGCTATCTTAAGTTCCTCATCCGTGCATTCGTCAACCTTGCCTAAACGGTGGGACTTGCGTGGATGCCTTCACTTCCAAAGAGGAAAACGAGGAGCAACCTGTCTATGACGTAGCGCTCCCTTGGACACACTTGCACTTCCATTGCCAGTGTCCTCCTGGTTTTAAGGGATCCAGGTGCGAAAGTAAGTTCACAGAAAGTTAATTCATTCACTGCGGTACTTGTAATAATCATGTCGACCCGTTCTAGAGCGTTGCCAACTCGAAACCTTTGATAATGAGATTCTTGTTGGTTAGAGAATCCCCTTTTGTTATATTTCTGAAAATTTCGTGGTGATTGCAGTTGAGAAATTGAAAAAAACAAAAAAAATCCATCTTCATTCTTCTTTTATCCTTTGCTTTTATCCATTTGTTTTTTCTTTCAGTCTTTTTACGAGTTACAAGGAGAGCATTTTGACTAAATATCAGTTTCGAAGTCGCCACGGTCCCATTAAAAAAAAAAGAGTGAGCATTCTCTTTCAATTAAAAAAAGATGAAGATAGAGATGAATCCAATAGATCATGTCTATAAAAGAAAAACATTCTGTGAGCGACTTGAAAATGATTGATAATTTTTTTTTGTTCTAAAATCACTCAAATTATCGTTTCAGCTGATGTTTGTTCGTTGTGTCATCGTTTGGCTGAATGTATTGACCATCATTGTGTTTGCAAGCGTGGCTACGTTGGAAACGGAAATTATTGTAAAAGTAAGTGCGGCGTGGAAAAAGCTATCTTCGCATGTAGTAAACTGACAAGGTGTATTTGGTTCGGCAGTCGCGAGGGCCTGGGTCAGCTTATTTCTGTCATGGCAGTGCATACTACATATTTCGCGCGCTTTATTCTACATTGGAAAATACCTCAAGCTAAAGCAAACACGAAAACATTTTGAAATGGAAAATGGAGAAAGTGAAAAAAATAGCTGAGGTGACCCAGTAATTTCCTTCCATTTCATAAAATGGAATCAGAATGGGTTTATTTTTAATTACGTGTACTATCCTTCAATCATTGCCCAGAACCCACGGTTCACACCATTATGGAACTTTCCAGTCACAATTGTAAATTGTGAGATTCGAGTAAATGATTTGATAGATAACGATAACTATGTTAAATTTCTTGCAGAGCCAACAAATAGGTGTCATCCCAATCCCTGCCTTAATCAGGGAACGTGCTCTGAACGACAGGACGGCAGTTACGACTGTGAATGTGTCCCAGGATATTGTGGTCTTCATTGCAAAGGTACCTTAATTTTTCTTGAAGAGAGAAATAAGACAAGAAGTATTCAAGTCAAGTCTAAACTCGAGAAGTGGCAAATTAATCATGGTTCCTTGAATTGTTGGTACCTCTTTGAGGCAGTTTACATTTGTTTCGTGAAAAAGTCGTTTCGCGACATTTCAAGAAGTCATTTTAATAAAAAATATTTAGATAGGATGCTGCTTCGCTGATCCCGGTCATTATATACGGCTAAGTTGTAGCACGTTTACTTGGCAATCAAAATTCCTTCAACTGAACTTTATAAAGACAAAAATATAATTGAAATCGACGAAAAAAAATAAGGGAGTTATGACGAACCTCTTTATTGGTATATAAAGGATCCTTTGTTTGGTGTTCGCTTACTTTCCCTGTGCAATTAAATACCGGATGTCTTTTACCTTCGTCCATCACTTTGGAAATGTTCTATTGCTTAACTACTCAATTTGTATGAATAGGATAGGTGCAAATTAATATATTCTAGAGGAAAGGGAATCAATATCTGGGAAACTGCCCATCTACCCCTCCCCTAACCCAACATTAACCCTAACTTGTCATCAATTGACTGTTGTTGGGTTAGGGAGGGGTAGGTGGGTAGTTGCCCAGATACTGATATTGATCCAGGGAAGGCATTGGGTTTAAAAAGAGATTTACTTTTCAACAGATATTTGTGAACCATGTTTGTTACGGCCATGCTTTAATGGAGGAGAATGTATCCCAAAGGGTGAGGAACGTATCTGTATTTGCAAACCGCCTTACGTTCAACCTGACTGTAATGGTAAGTAGAAATGATATTCAATGACTCGGGAAATTTATGCTATGAACTAAAGTGTACCTCTCGTCTATCTATTTGCAAAGTCATTTACTCCAGGCACCCCACCTAGAAGAGTATGAATGCTCGTGTGCAATTTGTGGAGCTTAAATCCATAGAATCAATTCATTTTCTTCTCGTAACCGTGGGTGCTTATTGAAAAATGTGACTGAAAGTTTTAGTTGCTTATGTTGGGGTTTATTTTTGGAAATCAACGAGCGTTCCATTTTGGGATATTATATATTAGTTAGTGAATTAATAGGTATATCTCTTAAGCTGACTTCTCCTGTTGATTTAACAAAGCTCGGTATAACGTTAGCTTGCTTCTTTTCAGAGACCGCTGTTAATCGATGTATTCCAAATCCTTGCAAAAATGGTGGTACGTGTAGGTCTTTGCCAGAGAAAGATGACTACATTTGCGACTGCGTTGGTAAATTCTCTGGAAAGGATTGCGCCAGTGAGTAAGGTTTTGTCATTATTTCTTCAAGCACACGCGTAAAGAAATGATCAAGAAAATTAACACCGTAATACCAGAAATAATGCAGCACTTTCCTTTTCATGACCACTTCGGCGCATACTGCATATCATAAAATTTATTAGAGCACCTTACGCTACGGAGTACGTGCAACACGCCTAGGAATTGCATAATGATCCAAAGTTAATAAAAAATAATACCTTCCTACTGACCGAGCGCTAGGGCCATACTGGGGAATATTGGCCCGAACGCATGGCAGTACGGACCGAGCGCAGCGAGGTCCGTTCAAAAACGGACGAGGGCTAACACTCGCCTGAACGGCTCGCACAAGTGAGGTTAGTAGTTTATTATAAGGCACCCAGACCAAACCTGTTTATTTTGAATTTACCGTCTTTCGAGAAAATAAATACAGGGCTTATGACCGTTTTCGTGGAAACGGTCCGTATGGCAAAATCCAAACAAAGTATGAACCAATCAGAACGCTCGGATTTACCTCAGGGCTACCTTGCTATACAACAACTTCTTATCATCCGATTTCAAGTGGGTTCGGATAAGAAAATTCCATGACTGTACTTCCTGGTTCTATATTGGCTCAACCCTAGGTTGAGATGACTTCCATCATTGATTCCCTAAGGATTCTCTATTTTACCAAGTCAATTGTACGAAACAAAACTAAAAAAAGAAATGACATATAGACAGCAGTCTGTGTTTGATTGTTTAATAAATGTTCTTTCTTACAGACTGCGACTGCCCTAAGGCCAAACCACGACCAGATGGGAAAGAGGTAATTGACTCTGAATGCGACGCAATTGGGGAATGTTTTTGTCCACTTGTTTCTGGTGTTCCTAAAGTCACATTTACGGACGGCGGCTGCGTTCTTGACCGTAGGTTACAAGAATGTTAAGTTTTAATCCTTTAAATTTAGCAAACAAAATCATGTCTGCGCAATCGTTACTTTGGGTTACTTGGTAAAGTAAAGCTTTGATGTGCATAACATCATAGATTGTGCGAGATTCCTCGGCAGAACTCTGCAAAATTTGTAGGCTTTGTTAAGAACGTGAGTGATTGTAAATTGATAGGCGAAGAGTTGCAATTATGATTGCGCAGTCAATATTTTGAATAGTAAGTAAACGAGTATGTGATGAGTAGCAAGAATGAGAAAGAAAAATTTTGTTAGTATGGTATCTACGTAGTAAATCCTAAATGTAATTGCAAGTTTAGCAATTAATATTTACCTCCAAGCATCCGAAGAAACAAAATCGCGCGTAATTTCATTCTCAACCATTTTTTCGGTATACTGACTGAAATAAACTGACTTTTTTGGGTTTCTGTGTGTTATACACTGAAATAATGATTCACCGAAGTGTAGATGGAATTGGTGGATATTCACTCACTATTCTGGCCTTATCAATTTTTTATGCGGGTCACCATTTAAACTAGCTTGGAGCCGAACTGGGCCAGCTTGTCTAAATATCGTAAATACAAATATATACGTGTATGCATAAAGATTAAAAAAAAAAACAAACAAGAAACAAGACTTACTGAAAGCTTTTGTTCTTGAAATTCAGGCCAAAGCCTTTGCTTTAGTGAACCATGCAAGAACGGAGGAACATGCGTGAATACTTTATATGGATTCATATGTGAATGCCCTCCTCCATATTACGGAACTTTCTGTGAATGTAAGTCCTACTGTTACCAACAGCAATGATCTTCATGTTTTTAGCAGGCTACGACAAATAGTTATTTGGCCTAGGTTAACGCGATTATTTTATACCAATGAGATATATACGGCTAGCAAAGAGGGTTTCAAGTCATATTTCATATCTTTCTTGATAAATAATAACGTCTCATTGAAATCACTTCGAAGCTGCGTCAATAGAGTGACCCTACATTATCAACTCAGACGTATACTCAATCTTTTCCTCTAGGCACTTCCTGTATATGTGAGCAACCGTGTAAGAATGGTGCTACCTGTGTTGACATTGCAACAAAACAATACCAATGTACTTGTCCCCCTGGTTACCAAGGTCCTGACTGTTCAAGTATGTTAGTCATTTAATATTTAAGCTTTCAGTTGTTAATCCAAACAGAATATGCAGGGAGATTGTCGTATAAATCGTTTCAACCAAAAAATTAACGACTGTTTTCCAGAATAGAACCATTCATTTTTACATTTTTCGACCACGAGGTCGCGTAAATCACGTGACATAAAAGTCACTAATGCAATGGGACACAATTCGTGCAAACAAAATAAAAAATAAATAAAAACTAAACAAAAAGTCAACTTCCAGTCGCAACAGAGATATTTCTCTTAGTAAATGTTTAGCCATCGAAATGAATTGAAGTAGCTCACATTTAGATGACGTGAGTTTTTAAGGATTGCAAACAATACCCTTAACTCAGCGGTGATAAAAAAAACCTAATTGTTGTAATATTCCTTTTTCCTTACGTGCCTACACTGCCTTGTGTGCGCAATGTGGCTGAGTGGCGAGGGCAGTTGGCTTGTGATCTAGTGGTCCCGGGTTTCAGTCCTCTACACAACTGCTCGCTGGATTTTCTTCCAGTTGCCCCGAGTTTAACACCTTGGCTGCACCTTGCATGTATATAGTCAACTGGTCTGCCCACTGTCTTTTGGGATTTTTAAACACTGTGTATACATTCATTCATCCATTTATTTCCTCATTTATTCCCTCGTTCGTTTAGGCCCTAAAAAGCCCTATTGGGGAAGTGGTCGATTAAATATATCTCCATATATAAATACACATGTACGTACGGATTGAACTGCATTCCAGCCATGAAATTGGTATTATACACTAATTAATTAATTGAGTCACATTTGCCAATTATAGATTAGGAGAGAATGTCCATTCCACTCCCCTTATGCTATTTAACGTAGGGCAAATAAAAATAATACCTTACAGTGAGAGATTCTGCGTCTCTTTTGCATTTACAGCCCCAGTGACACCAACAGAAAAGCGTTGTATAAATGTCACTTGCCTACATGGAGGCACTTGTGTAGAGCGTCCAAATGGATACGATTGTATCTGCACACCACAGTACACAGGACCACATTGTGGAGGTAATAGCCACTTTTTGAAATATGAATAGGTCCCGATTGATCTCTCAGATCAAGGAAAAATGTGCAACCGAGATTTAAAGGGAGGAGAGTTCTTCAATTTTTTTACTCTCCAAAATATGGCAATTGATGGTTGCTGAAAAAAATGATGTGAATTTTAAGGCTGCCTATGTCTGAAGGCTATGCCCAAAGACAATTGTTCATGAAAATTATTACTCTTGCTCAGTTGACAAGTGCGCTAATTGTCACGAGGAGGCAGAATGTGTATATGGACGTTGTCGATGTAGAGAAGGATACGTTGGAACTGGATACGTTTGCGAGAAAGGTCAGTTTACCTGTAACGATCGAGTTGCAGTTTCAAGTACTTTATTTCAGATAGAGTTTAGTAAAGAATCTAATATCAATGATACTTTTAAATATGCGACAGTTGTTGACAACTTATCAGGCTAATACTGATTTTGTTGTCTTGTATTACATAAGCAGATAAGGAAAAAGAATGTGGCATCTGTCCTGTTCATCATCATTGTGCCCAGGGAGTCTGTGTTTGTATTCCAGGGTTCATTTGTCAAGGTAAAGGCAATATTCATGCCACTGGAATATCCATGCTACTTTGAGTTGCATCGTATACAGTGTTTTTTCTTTATCGTTTAATGGCTCGAGTTTATGCACTCGTGTTTTTTTCTTCGGGAAAACTTTAGTTTTCCTACTTGGCAAAATATTCTGGCTCTTGACAAAATAATCCTATCATTACTATTTCATTTCGTTTACATGGGCATACGAAATTCATTACCCCATTTCTCTGAACCAATAGGAAGTTGGTTCCTTTCAACTGACTGGGGCTTGACTTCTTTTTATACTAATCAATTTTTTTGTCCCATTCTTTCCAATTGCAGATAGCGGGCGTTAGAGACGCTTCATAACGTATTCAGTTTTGGAAATTATTCTATTGAATGTTTGAAACCTCAGAGATTACTAACATGACGCAGTTATGATGACGAAACTTAACTGTAATATATTATTTCAAAAAATAAGCAAATCCATTGAAACAAACAAACAAAGAAAAAACAGAAAAAGAGAGAGAAAAAAAATCATTTGTAGCTAATCTAATGGCATACACACGGGCCACATTACCGATAACTTGGACCAGGTTTGGCTTCCATGGCGGCATCTTTTTTTTTTCTTTGTATGCAGCATGTGGCATAAAATTAATATTTACTTGATTTCAAGTATCTAATTAAATTATAAATTGTAACGTAACCTTGAGTAGTGATAGCTTTATGTTTAGTTTATTGTAAATAGCTATGTTGCTTTATAAAGACAATAAAGCCGTGTGCTAAGTGCGAAGTGCACGCAAGGAACTGTTTTTGGAAACATCAAAAACGTAAATTACACGTATCTCTAATTAACATTGGAAGAAGTCGATTCATTAATCCTAAAATTTTGAAGGATGTCACACCCTTCAAATCGTGAGAATCAGAATAAGAATTAGGATTTTAGGAAAGGGTTGGGCTGGATAACTATTCGGATCTGATTCGACCTAATGTGCGTGCTTTCGAAGTCCTTGTCCTCAGCAACTGCTTCAGTCATGCATACGTTACCAAACTGAATTAGTATCCAACTAGAGCAGGAAAATGAAAAAATGAATAAATAAGCAAATGAACGAGAGATATATAACAAAATGACTGAATCAATTTAGATAATTACAAAAAACATACATCGACTCACCTATTTTCTGACAAGTGTTATCAATAAAGTAAAATCCCGCGATACAAGCGCATTCTCCGCCAACACAGACGGCGTTTAGCGGACAGGTGTTACAGAAAGACACTGAAAACAATAAAATAAACTTAAAATGCAACAATGCCTTTTTTTTAATGAGTGGATAAAGAACCTTAACGCTAATTTTGACCACTAACAGTTACTTATAAATTTTTTTCGCTCATTGTATCTCGGACATCACTTATGGCAGCTCTTAAGTTAAATTAATGCTCTGAGATGATTTCTGATATGATCAGAGTTAAACTCTATCACATTAGTTCTTCAATCTCAGTAGGATTTTTTGTAGATATTGCACTGATTAAAGTCTTCAGGCAACATTTGTAGGAAGAATCTAGAGATATATATATATATGTGCACATTTTGATTGTGTTGTGTCTTTAACGACAGGGAGCTAATTGTAAATAACACGCTTACAGGTTGATAACTAAGGGTTAAAAATACAGCTTATTTTACAGTGAAACTCTAGAAATCTTGAACACCAGAGATTATTTTCTGAAATGCTTTGTGTTGGAGGTAAACAAAGTACCCATTAGAGAGAATTCTCTTGTAACCAATTTGTTAGAACGCGATGAACACTCCATTCATACTCTAGATGTTCATGGTGTGGGTTTCACATCAAAAAGGATCATTTAAAAATAATAATTTGGTATTACTTTACCTGGTTTACAATCTCCATGAAATCCACTTCCTTTGTAGCCCGGTCTGCATTTACAACGGCCATTGTAGCATATGGCATGGACATCACAATCCATGCACTTGTCACCTAAAGCAAGAAAAGAGTAAAGCATCAATGTCAGTATCTGAGCAATTACAAACCTACTCCTGCCCCAACCCAAAAAAATAGGTTGGTGTTGGGTAAGGGGAGGGGTATAAAAAAGCCAAATCAAACCATTTAGAACATCCTCTACCATACCATTTAAATCACGAGTGTTATTGAACTTTTCAGCTTCACTAAAGATTTAAAAAAAACTAGATTTTTGGTCAATTTTTCAATTGCACTGCATATCCAAAAATTCGTAAAAACTCTTATCTCTATAACAGCCTTCACATGCACCTAGGTTCATTGAACATGTTTTTATTAAATGGATCGAGAGATTTTTGTTTTGTTTTTTTTGCACAAATTTAAGTAGTATAAACTTTGTGCAGTAAATTTAAGTGTTCTTGGCTTCATAAACGTAGAGTATTTATTGCTTACTTACGCTCACAGTATCTTCCATGGTACTGCTTGGAGCAGCTACATTCAAGGCTGTTCGGTCTCACTTGCCTGCATTTTCCACCATTTTGGCATGGGTTGGGATGACAAAGACTTCGGTTATCTGATCAGTTTGATAAAACAGTAAAACATTAAGCAACAAATATATACTAAGTCATACGACTTATGTTACATCTATTTTTCTGTCTCACAATGAAAAGATAAGTAGTACACGAGGTTTTCTGTTGAACGATTTAAGGTTTAAGGCGAGGGGAAGAGGGGAGAAGGTGGGCAACGAATGGGCAACCTTTTAAAGCCGTATTTGACCCATTGGCTTTCCTCTTGCTAGATCCAGCAGATTAGGCGAGTAGATGATTTACAGAAAATCTGCAGTAGGACGTGAAAACTCTGGAGCGAAACATTTTTAAAAAGATGATTAGACAAATAAAATGAAACAAACCAGTTGTAAAAGATCTAGAAAACCTTTACCTGTTGTGTTAACATGCATCAGGCATAGAGGGGGAAGGTAACTTGGAGGACACTTGCAGAAAGGCTTCGTTCCCACAACTATACAGGTTCCACTGTTCTTGCAATATCCAGGAGTACAAATCTCGTCAACTTGTTGACATAAAAGGAAGGAATCATTCTTTAAACCAAACAAGCAATCGAAACAGAAAAAACAAACAAACAAAAGAAAACATAGTACCAAAACAAAACCAAACCGAAAACACAGTAACACAAAAGGATTAGTAATTCACGGACTAAAATGCAGTTAAATATTTAGGGAGCATTCTTGAGTCTGTTGCCTTTCTTCTTCTTTGTTTTGTTTTGTTTTGTTTTTTTGTTTGTGAGTGTTTTGTTTGTTTGTTTGTTTGTTTACATTAAATAACAGTAGTTGAATATCGACGGAATGGAAAACCGCGTAATGGCGACTGAAAGGAACAGCCAAAAACAAATTCTAACATTAACTAATGGGCTAAAAACAGACTTACTGTTACAATTTTGACAGCGATCTCCCGTGCATGGCTCAGGACATTGACAAGTGAAGGACAAATTGTCAGGGTCAGCAGAACACACACCGCCATTTTGACACGGATTACTATCGCAGGGATCCTGTCCTGGATAAGTTAAAAAAAGTGGCCTATGAGATTGAGCAACATGAACGACTAGTTTTGTTATAAAACATTGCCTCGAGCAATGGTAATGTTGGGAAATTTGTCCGAGAACTTAATCTGTTCCGAGAATAGAGAAGGTTTTTGAGCTTCGCGGAACAAATGATATCAAGGTAAAAAAAATAATACGTGTGAGTCAAATTCCTTGTATTGTGTTTATTATCTTTTACTTGCAGAACCCGAGACAGAACGTGGAGAAGACGTTTACCGTCGAAAACGGTTGATAGACTATAGGGAAAAAACATTACTTTTCTCTGCTCCCGTACCATAAGTTAATTTTGCACAAAGAACTGAAGACTTTGAATAATTTAGATTAGGACTGAGGCCTCGCAACTTCGTGGGCGAAGGCAAAATAAAATTAGCAATGATTTTGTTCAAAAAATATATATATATAATAGATAATTGGAGTATATAAATATGAGGGTTTCTCGTGATTTTTATTGGCTGCAAACGGCTCTAAGCAAGATCATTGAGCATAAGTTGAGCATTAGGTATGTGCTTCTGGCCATAGTTAAGCTTGGTAGGATCGAAACTGATGTGGACCTATTTACATCTAAGGAGCAAAATTTGCGTGTGATTTTAACATAAGGAATCCTTCAAATAACTACTAGAGGGGGAGACATCTGGAAAACTATAATGTAGGTTAGATAAAATGTCTTGCTTACTTGACTCTACGCAGCCTCTCTCTGTCTTAGAGTGCGTTTTACCGTTGTAACTTGGGCAGTAACACTCTCCATCTTCTTTGCACTGTTGAGCGAGAATGGGAGGAACCCACAAAGGATCTCCTTTTGGACAGTCACATGCTAAGCGCCAAAAATAAAAAAAATTATTGATAAAATCAGTAATCACTGAATAATAAATCATGATTACCGAGGATGTTCTCCATTTCTTTAAGATATGTGTCTGTTCAGTTGATGAGGAATAAAATTAGTGGAATGAGGTTTCCATAGTTGTACGGAGTAGTTCTCCTTTATTCGTTTGTTAAGTTTAAATGATAACTGCACGAAAAAAAAACACAAAAAAAAACATAAAAACAAAAAAACAAACAAAAAAAATATGTATATAAATTGAATATTAGAGGTGTGAATATATGTATATATATATAGCATCGGGGATTATTTAACAATATCCACTGAGCCTCAGACGAATGACTATTTTAGTGTAATTACTTAGATGCTTTCGGATTCCTTAATAAAAATCCGTTTTGATGTTAAAACAATTCTGTTTTAACAAGAGAATATCAACATATTCTCTTTGTTTAGGCTGTTCTTATTACTCGTATCGAGATAAAGAGTCAGTTGCTACTAGAATTTGATAGGTCTATAGAATTTAATCAGACTTCATGGCATTGTTTGTGCCCTTAGGAGATGAATTTTCTATATCGCGTTATATATATATATATATATATTTATATAATATATAAAGAAAATTCATTTCATTGTATATATAGATTCAATGTATATTAGTATGTAATTAATGTGAGCCCTAATTTGACTCGTTAATTATCGTCGTAATTATGATTATTATCATCATTATCATTACCATTTTACTCTACTTACCACAAAGAGGAGGCTTAAAACTTCCTCTGCAGTTGCAGGTAAATCTCTTTTTATCTTGTGACGCCTGACAAGTTGCTCTGTTTAGACATGGATTAGGGACGCAAGGATCAACAGTCTCTAAGAAGCAAGCATAGCAGAGAGCAGTTATTTCCCAGCTGCTCAGTAAGTAACGGTGATAACTTATGGTCGGATTCAACTCTCAATCTGATTTCTCCTCACACTATCACTCCCGAATAAGACTTAAAGGCCAAGAGAAAAAAGAGATCGATTAATGACCAAAAATGCTCTTAATTGTTAGATAAGTTGTCTTTGTCAGCATCCTATGAAGTGTATAGAGATCAGAATGGACTAGGCACACTGATGTAAGTGTGTAGTAATTGTGTAAAGGGTTAAAAGTACAGCGTGACACAACGAGAAAACTTTTGGTTCCTCCAGATAACCAACGAGGAGTCAAGAAGCAGAAGAACTCTCTCAAAAACAGTTTAGTTTGTTATAACTTACTGTTTACACAATTAGGAGGTAAAAAGCCCGCCGGGCAGATGCAATGATATCGATCGACGCCATCCTTTGTGCAAATCCCTTGATTTTTACAAGGATTAGGGATACAAACATCTACCGCTGTAGAAACAAAAACAAAACTGATATTTGAAATACATCAATAGAAAAATTAAGTAGGTTAATAACAGTTAGCATATTCAATTATTCGAAAAAAGCTTGTTCTATTCCATAGAAATGTTCCCGCTTTAAAGTGGGGGGAAGGGGACCTTCCTCAATCATATCAACCAATTTAGTTATTTTTAAACACTTGTTACGTACATCGTAAATCGTTCTTAGCCACCTGGTAACTTCAGGTTTTTTAATCAAATCAGTAAAAGTTTTATTTCTGCGAAGTATCATTTTACTAGGTTTTGTAGGTAATCTCTTAAAATCCCTTCCAAATCAACTTAGCTCCTATTTCAACTAAAAAAAACATGAATTTTAAATTACATTGAAGCCGAATATGAAGACTCATCTGTAAAAATGCCTGCAAGTAAAGTAATTTAACAGTTACTTTATTTTCGTGGTAAGCCTGTATAATATTGGAAAGATGTTTTGCGCAGCTACGTTTCTCAGCCAGAGCTGAATGACCATGGGAAAAACTCTGAACGGTGGCATTTTCGATGAAAAGCTTTCGATTTCTATTACGTAGCCGAATGATTAGTAACTAGTTCGCGATCAATTAAAAACACGCGGATAACTCCCCTTGATTATAGGAATAGGCCGGTACTCAGGTCCAAAAACGATTATACGAGAGGGCATTGAATAGGATCAGCAATTCCTTTTACTATTTAGTTAAAAATTGAATAAAAAATATAATAATACTGGTAAATTTAAAACTATCTAGAATATCTAGTGAAATGTTTGCTCAACTGTCAATTAAGGATGTTTAATCAAGAGCCCGTTTGATTTGCACATGAAATTAGATATACCGCATTGCGAACGGTTTTATGCTCGCCACTATAGGTGTTTCAAAACAAATCCTCTTCTTCGTTGACTTGAAAGGTCGCGAGAATACCAGTAATACTTAAGGACTAGTTACTTATTAAGGAGGGGTATTTCAAATAAATTCTGTCCTGGAGGCATTAACATTAAGGTAGGTACATGTCCCGGAGCTTCATGTCATGAGACGGGTACAGCACACTAAGTTTTCTTCTTCTTGAGCCATTCACCGCACTGACTTCGGTGTTGAAAAAGCTTCTCCAGACTTGCAACGGCACCTCGAGAGTCCCCAACCGACGCTCAGGTCACGGTTGATGCCTTCCTTTCACACTGAGCACAAATATTTATCCGCTTCGTTGATTTTGCAAATTATACACACTTTCACATCTGACATACTTTTCAAGTGTTCATAAAATGAGTCTTGGTGAATAAACAATGAAAAACAAAGTGAATTTGAGCATATTTTTGTTTCTAAGATGATTTTTCGCCGTTGCGTGCTGGCCGTTAACGATCTCCTGACTGTGGCGCAAAATTCCAGCCCGCCATATCAACACATTTAAATTAGATACGACATAAACAAAAGGAGAGAAAAAAACGGTTATATATTGCCATGGTCTAATGAGCTGCTTATTTATTTAGCATCGATAACGAATCAAGGCATCCTGGTGAGAGACTAGCGCTTTTAAATTGGAAATTTGAAGTTGGGAAACATTTGAATGATCTGCTGGCTAGTTGCTGCAGCTAGAATCGTCCGTTAAAATGCACCTCGTGAGTTTTGCAGTTATTTTGATACTCCTTCACTCCGTTAGCGTCGCAAGAGCAAAAAATATTGCCAACGAAATCGAGGATTTATATTCAGGTATGTTGACAGCACCTTTTTTTTTTAGGCAGAAACGTTGTTTGTCACGTCTCGAAGATTCATTGATTCACGTTTGAACTTTGCGTTATGAAAGTACACTGCGATGGAGCGGCTGTCGCTAAAAGCAGGATTAGATTAATTCTGTTACGCATAGAGAGGTTTTATAAACCATGACTGCATGACCAGTACAGATCACTGCGACATAATGCCAAATCCCATCCTGTGATGTTAAGCAGAGAGACTGGCTTTACTCTTGTTAGTTTAAAGGCCCTTACGCGAAAGAAAAGGTGTCCGTTTCGAGGAAAACCTGAAACTGAACGACACATTGAAACTAAAAGAGACAATATAACTGACTAATTCATGAATAATTAAGATAGAAGTCCGGTTTAATCTAGCCGAACTAGAATTAATTTACGTTCTTGAATTCTAACTACGACGAAAATAAATGACAAATTAAATAACTCATTTTCGAATGACTTCTCAAGTATGTGGCTGATTCATAGAGCGTCTCGCTGACGTAAATATTGACATTTGACACAAAGGACGAGTCTCCGGGGCATAACGTTAAACTTTTATGCCAAATGCATGCAATTTACTGAAAGCAAAAATTCTGGAGGACCCCATCTTCCCTCAGGAAGGAATCGAGTCTCAGAAAATTTGACTCTTTTAAGAAAATTAACTCTCAATTGTAATTAATCTTTTCACGGGTACTTGATTAGAGTCTCATTACAGGTTCAGATAATAGACCTGGTGTTTTGTGACAAATTTGCGTGACACAGTGTTTCGCTCTAACTTTCGGCATGATGATTCAGTCTTTGGTTGTGTTTGTAAAGGAAATGAAAACCGGCTAGAGACAAACATCACTTCCTATGAAATCTGGAAAAAGTGAAAATGGAGTTTTAGGTTAACTAAAAAAATAGGACAAAATGATGTATAATTAATATGATAATCAACATAAGTATCTATACTCATATGATAGACATCATTTTGCGAGTTGAGAATTTCCCAATTTAGTGACAAGAACTTAAAGAAATTCATCTCTAATCATTTTTGCCTTTATTTGCATTCCCATCAAACAGGTTGAGATTCCTTATATCCTTTTGTTCCTGGTTCATCCGTCTCTTCATATCTTTCCAATTCCCCACCCGCCCTCTTTCATTGCCCTTTAAGTTTTTCTTTAACTTTACGGTATGTACTTTCTTATTTCATCTCTGATCGCGTTTTTCCTTTTTTCTACATTTGCTATCAGAAATTGGCTCTCTATCCGAAATTGGCTCTCTATCCGAGGATGAAAACACGGAAAAAGTTTTGGAGGAAACCAATGGTAAAATATTTCTAGCTTAAACCTTAAAAAGTCCATTATGAAAATGGTTGGTTATGAAGAAAACCTAGAATCGAGTAATTTAATTCTTCGAACCTTTCCTTGATTTCGTTGATTTAATTTTTATGTGAAATCGACTTACAACGCGTGATTTATCTATTTATTGCCTTTTTTTCGACAGAGTGGCTTGAAGAAATGGATGAGGACGAACGAATGGAGTTTGAAGGTAATACTGCCACGATAACTTATTATTTACGATGATAATAATAATAATAATAGCTAAACAATAATGAATATAGTGATTATAATAGTAATAATGATAAATCAATCACAATAATGGTAATAATAATGACAATGACGATAAAAGTAATGATAAATATAATAATGATAATATAATCATAATCACTATATTTCGCAACAACTTTGACTGACTAACGAGAATCTACCCATACAAGATGTCAGTGAAATCCTTTCTTTTCTCGGACAGAATCTCTGATTTTTGATTTTAGGATAGATGGTACTTTTATTTATTTTACATGTAGGATTCACTGCGCATTTAAAGCTTTTAGATGGAGCCGTCGACCAAGCTTCACTAATTGAAAAGAAAATAGCTAGTGTTACTCACTCTCAGGATTTGGCTTCGGACAACAATTTTAAGTTTTGACTTTCTATTTTCCAAAAAGGAGACCTGTGATAGTTTTTATAACACTTATCTCAAGCCTGCCGTTGTTATTTCCACGAATTTGGAAAGATATGTCACTTACTTGTGCAAAGAGGGGGAAAAAATCCCTCTGGACACGTGCAGTCGAAGCTTTCATCAGGTCCCTTGCTACATGTCCCGTTATTTCGACATGGGTTTGGAACGCATGGATCCTTGATGGCTTCCAGAGCAGAATATGAACAAAATGAAATAATTAAGACCAAAAAATGAAAGCAATTAAAGTTATCCTCAGCCACGAAATATATAGGGCTTTTATTATATTTCAAAACGACGAAAGGAACGAAAAAATAAAGTTTAACCAGGATATATAAAAAAAACTACTCACCAGTGCATTTGAAGCCATCTCCTCTGAATCCATCCTTACAGATGCACTGTCCACTTTGGCAAGTTGCATTTACGTCGCACCTTAGACACAAATTTTCTGTTTTTTTTTTATGATGGAAAAGATATTGCTTGGATCAGTTCCGTGTATTGCATCTATCTCGAATTAATAACCTTTCCATTTGATGCATTTCATGAGCATTCTATGATTTTAAACTTTGTCATGTGTTGACGGTGAGAACTGGATGACGTACCTTCACATTTCTGCCCTGTATAATCCGGTGGACATGCGCAGTAGTAATGTAAAAAGCCTATGTCCCAGTCCTTTGGAAAGTTTGTGTACTTGCTAAAAGTATCAATACATCTTCCACCATGTAAACACGGATTTGTTACACAAGGATTGGGAACTAATAAAGTAGAAAGATGTGAATTAATTTGGCTGATATGGTTCACGAGGCCTGTAACAATTCTGAAAAGAATTCCTCGTAAGATTGTCATTTCATTTTTTTTTTTATAGTGTTTCCTTACTTTCACAATTTTCTCCTTTGTAAAGGAGGGAGCAAATGCACTGGTATTTCCAGTGCCCTCCTGCTTTCCCCGGAACGCATTTACCGTCATTTAGGCAGGGGTTGGAGTCACAAACATGGACTGAAAAGAAAAAGTAATAAAGATGAAATAAGAAATTTTTACTAAGCACAGAGCACATCGTGACTTAGGAAAAACTCCAAGAACTACGTTTAAATATTTTTATGTATTTGGAAATTTTGAAAGCAGAGAAGTGAAGGGGTATAACTTTGTATATCAGGTCGTTAGAAAACGTGCTCACCTCTGCAATATGGCGGACTATATCCCATCGGACATATGCAGGGATAATTGGAGTTATCCTCAACGCATTCGCCGCCGTTTTTGCACGGATTAGCAAGACACACTCGTTTCTCTGTGTAAATGTAAAAATTGGCAAACCGATTGAATAGGAAAAAAACGCACACAACGTATTTCAATTGGGCCAAAAGTATTTCAAAACAATGTATAAACAAAACTGAACTAAGATTATCTCCCAGTCAGTATAAATAAACTGGTGTTGAATGATTCAAATGACTGGGCAGTCATAAGACGGGATCTGTAAACTCGCCTTACTTTCGCACAGTTTTCCTTTGAATTCTTCTCTGCAGATGCATTCGTGAGAGGCGTGTCTCTGTTGACATGTGCCGCCATGTTGACATGGGTTTGGATCACAGTAATCTAAGTCTGTAAGAAAACAGTAATAGCTTTAAAATTCATAACGTCAACTAAATAATGTCATCTTAGCTTTCAGGGTAACATTTTCATAATCTTCCCCACAACGTGGTAAAAGTGCAAAAGTTTGACATATTTGAGTACTAGGAAGGTCAGGTAAATGCAGCATCGATGTTTCTGTCGTAAGTTTATTAAAAGATGCAAGCCCATTCCATTCCTATGAAATTGTTGATTTACAGATTACCTTCGCAATGCTTCCCTGTGAATCCAGATCTGCAGTAACACTTGTAATTGCTAATTGTCTCCACACACTGTCCGTCGTTTTTACACGGGTTTGGTCTACAAAAGTTCTTCTCTAAAACCGAGTAAATCAACGCATGTATATGTTATACAGCAGTATTAAATAGAGAATAATACGTGGACGCGGTAACGATTTCAAGAAAAAAAAATAAAACAACAGCAACATGGAAATGGGAGTCTCGTTGTGTTTGAAACCTAAGCTCAATCGTTTGTCAACACCTCTGTAGCTGAACGATATGGGATTTCTTTACAACAGGTACTAATGCCAACAATAACATCTTTATTCTTCACAGATTTATATGAAAATAGACATTCCAAAGTCTTTGCTTTAAAAAAGTAAAAATGCCTCTAAGCTAATAATCTACCTTCGCAGTTGTAACCCATGTATCCTGTTGGACACTGACATTGATAATTGTTCTCTATTTCCTCGCACTTTCCACCATGTTCACATGGGCTCGAAGAGCAGTATAACTTGGCTATCGATGAACAAACAAAAATATCAAACAGATAAACTGGAAAAAAATTTTAAAAATTTTAAAAAATAGTATTATATTTAATAAATTTTCGTGAAAAATAACTTTGATGAGTTTTCATGAACTAGAAACCAATGTTAACGGAACGTTGTGATTGAGAAATCAATTAAATTGATGTCGTAAATTTTTTTCTTCAATAAATTAAAAAAGCTTTAAGCGTAGTATACATACCATCGCAAAACCTTCCTTTGTAATCCTTTGAACACAAGCAATGATAGCCAAAGCGACTGGATAGCAAAAGGCCGCCATTTCTGCAAGGATTAGCTGTGGTAATGAAATAGTCAATGGAACTTCTGTGAGAGATGTCTTTCTCCCATTAGTAATAAGTTAGCTTGGGCACCAACATCTAACCAAGCGAAGCTGTATGCAAATAGGTAAATAATTGGCTCTGACATAGTTGCGAAACTTACAAATCAAGAAGCTATATAGCTATGAACCATTTGCTTTCTGTAGTTACACTTAATTCGCTGACTACGCAGCAACTCATTAAAAATTTTAGGTCAATCGATGATGAGATGGAAGCTGGCCACTCGAATATATCGGTTTTTGAGTGATGGGGAGATTCGAATATTGTTAAATGATAATACTATTAAAATATGGTGCCCTTAAAATCTCAAAACCAACCTGGGTGATAAACATCTACGTGCAGCACACTGTAATCTGGCGATGCTCTTAAAGGAACATAAAAAGGTTTTGGAACAATTTCATATCTCGGCACCTGAACTGCAACTGGAACTTTCCTGTAATGATGAACTTGAATGGGATTTGGGAATATCTCCAGCGGTTCTATTTGGGGATGCCAGTCACGGCGTACATGAATTGGCTGGAAAGGATATGGATGAGGAACTCGTAAAGTATTCGCCTCATTTGGATCTAAAATCACTTGTCTGAAGCTTGTCTGTAGCTTCTCTCCTGCATTGTTCACATCAAAATCGTCCATATCTTGTTTGTCGTATGAGGTCTCATAATTGGATTCAACGTTATCGTCCACATTTAATCGCTCAAAAGAGTGTCGCTTGGTCGGACGATTATTTAAGCTTATGGCACTGTTTTTATGTATCCACGCCGTAAAATGGTTTTCCAGTGACTGATTTCTTGACGCCTTGCTCTGATTCCGCGGTGTTATCTTCAACCCAGAGACCTTGATGAGTTTACAGCTGAACACCAGTGTAATCAAAACAAGCAAATAATGTATACTAAACATGGTAAAAGGACAAATATTTCTCTCAGGCGGTTTACATGATGAACGGTGTGACTTAAAGTTACTCATAAAAATAAACAATATAAATTTTCTACTTTGAAAAAAAAATCAAGTTTAATATTCATTATTCATGTAAATTCTGGTTACCTATTTTAATATTCGCGGGGATCGTAAAGATACAATGCAGGTATTTAACTACAGTGAAAGACGGTTAAAGACCCCACTGAATCCGTTGATTCTAAAGGAATAAACCATGAGAAATACTCCCACTTAAAAGATGGTTCCAGAATATTTTTCTTGGCTTGAATTTCTACTCAATATTTCCTTCTGTTATGATTCTTTCTTTATTTTCTCATAAGAAATGATTTTTTAAACATAAATTTACCTTTTCTGAATCGAATTGCTCTCACATCCACCTGCTTTTTCACAAAATACCAGAAAAACGATCATATGAGACCATTTTATGGTATGCAAACGCGCGTCGTTGAATGATAGAAATTCAAATGTATGCGAATGTACATGATGTGAAACGTATGGAGCTGAATAGTCTCCAGCCGCGAAAATTATTTTTAAATTTTCTTTATTTTATTATGCTAAATTTAATGTTGCTTTGCAGGGCGGTACCCAGACGACAAAGCCATAGAGAATGACCCCGAGATAACAGAAGTAGCAAACAAAGGTTAGTAACGATATGACTGAGAAATATCTGTGCTGGAAAAAAAAAAAAAAAACTGTAGGTTTGTGTGGTGGACACTCGGGAAAAATCTTCAAAAATTCTTTGAATGTTGAATCAGTCGCACCGCGCAGTCCTACGCTTGGATATATTTGCACCATCGCAAAAAAGCTCGGTATGTATGTATGTCGTCAATTCTAACATTCTTGTGTTTCAAACGACTAACTATTGATACCTAAAAAAAAGACAGGAATACCCGTCGGATGGGAAATGCACGCACATTTTGCAGCTGAGCTTCACACCTCACAAATTTATTAAGGAATTTTCTTCAACGAGCAGTAAGAAAATACCACTTCGTTTTGTAGATATCTTGTTCAAAGAACTTTGTTTCGTTTGGTGATCATTGATCAAATCTAATTCTTGCCAGGATGAGGGAGGGCTGGGAGAGTAAGCTAATTAAAAACCTCCCCTTGGAAGGGACCCTTTTTTGTTTTAATAAAGATGGACTTAAAAGTTGCTATTGACCTTCACCTACGGTTAATTTATTTACTCTGCGAACCTACAGACTATGATAATGCGATGGGACGGATAATCGCCGTCAATCTTGCCCACTGGAGAAAGCGCCAAGAGAAAAGGCAACTTCAAGAAAAACGAGAGTATCAAGGCAATGTACAAGAAATGATCGAAACGACGAATGAAGGTAAGTTTGAAAAGTTTCCCCCTTTTTCTGATCGTTTGTGTCACAGTGAAATACTCGTTGATGTTAAATACCACTTATATGAAGGTATGCCTTTCCGCGTGCTGATTGGTTATCTTGGATGAGAATAGTCGAGTATTATTCACCTCCAAGGAGCCAGCTTTGATTAAAAAAAAAATTAAACTTGTATGAAAATTTACACCACCTTGATTTCTCGTTTGTTTCTTGTAGCGGAAGGTTTCTTCTTTGATCAAGGAGACATGATACTCGATTGTGACCTTTACGAAGAACTACATCCTGGAAAGACTTGCAAAACCGGCCAGGCGAGAACGAAGAGAAATGCTCTCAGAACTCGCAAACGACTTTGGACGTCAAGGGTGATTCCGTATAAAATTCCATCGTACATGAGTAAGTGCTGAATTTCAATTCTCTTATTTGGAAATGCCGTACTACGGCATTTCCAAATAAGAGAATTGAAATTCACGAAAAAATTGAAATGTAGCTGCATCATAAAACAACTACGTCGTTATGATGAATGCTGAAAAGCACCTGGCAATTCTGATACATCGCAGAACCAAAGTTTACGCACTCGCCAAGAACAATGAATCTCTACTGTTTGCAATTTAGAAGAAGAGTCAGAGTCTCTCATCATGAACACCAATCTTCTGAAACAACACTCACACTCGTAACAAGCAATTGGCTCCGAAGGGTTAATAAAATCTGCAAGAGATCCAAAAGTGTGCTTGAAAATATTGATCAGCGTAACACACCTTCTTTGTATTGGACACTGTCCAATCCACTTTTACTTCTAGATCTGGCCCTCGTTACTTTTAATAAAGATGTTATTTACTGTTTTTTTTTTCCGTAATAGTCCTATTCTCCCTTTTTCAGGACACATCGTGGGAAATCTTAACAAAGTTATCCAGATGTTTCATAGAGTATCGTGCATACGGTTTGTGCCATACCGCGGCCAGAAGAATTACATCTTCTTCGATAATGATGACGGGTAAAGTCTTCCGCAGCATAACTTTATTGTGCTATAGTGTCTGTGATGTAATTGTAGGTTAAATAAAGTTCGCTTTGAAAACATGCTGTCATTATATATCCGCAGGTAAGTTAATTGAGATTTTATATTGATTATAACAAAAACGACGATGATGATGAAGACGATAATGAAAAATCATTCGGGTACAATATAAAACTGAAAGAGGCTTGTATAGTTTCCTTTTTGTCGTCTGTGTCTTCAATAGAGCGAATTGTTGTTTTACAATTACATTTAATCCCATTATTCAATGCCTGCTTCATTTTCAAGTTTTTTCGTTGAAAATTGTTACTAGACTGTTATTCAGTTATGAACTAAATTTTGAATGACTGTAAATATATGAACATCATATATAAGAAACTAAATTATGTTAAGAAGTTCTCATTTTGTGTTTATTACAAAAACAGAGAGGAAAACTACTCAGATAAATAAATAAATAAATGTCTGTTTCTTAGCTTCAGTGTTTACTTGATTTTGCGCCCCACAAGAAGGGTACAAGCGTTTTGTTGGTTTCCAATCTTTTTTCCCATTTTTCAAACTCTTTCATTGCATGTCTACTTCAATGGTAAGCTTACCACATGTTACCATGTGATAATGTTGGCAGTTGTCCTAATTTTAATTCCCCTTGACTCTAATGACTTCCGCTCAGGTTGGCGAAACGTCAATCACAACTAACGTCAACCGTCCTCCTTAGGACTACAGTCAACCGGACGATCACACTACGCTTTCATCTGAACTTCTGTCGTTTGCTTGTAGGTGCTCATCTAAAGTAGGAAAGAGTTATGCTGTGGCTGGAGCTCAGAAACTTTCCCTAGGGCAAGGATGTGACTTCGAAGGCACCATCATACACGAATTACTACATGCTCTTGGTGAGTGAAAAGTAAAATACTTGGATAAAGTCAGTTGCTTTGGTTGTCATCGTAACAGTATTTACTCGATTTGCTCGTATAAAAGAGCCTCATGCTACTGTTTTCTGAAAAATGATGTCTTAAAATTCAAACTGCCCGCAGTTCCCTTCTCTTTCAATCAGTCCTTTATTCGGATCACGTAACGGACGATACTCTAGAAGGAAAGAGAAAGTACGCTTTACCAATACCTAATCTTTGAATTCTCTATTTAGCCAGAGATAAATAAGATAGCATAATTTGACCCTTGCTTTGAAAACTTGTTCCCTAAGTTTAACAATTGACTTTGTAATCTACCCTTTTGGCCTCTCTCTATTTGTAGGATTCTTTCACGAGCAAGCAAGAGATGACAGGGACAAATATATTGAAATCAAATGGGAAAATATTCTCGACGGTGAGTTTACACCGATATCGGCAACTAGATATCCATAAAAGCTTCAGTATCTCCTTAAAAAAAATCCTCTCTCTTATGCTTCTTTCACGAGCAAGCAAGAGATGACGGAGACAGATATATTGAAATCAAATGGGAAAATATCCTCGACGGTGAGTTTACACCGATATCGGCAACCACACCCACATAAAAGCTTCAGTATCTCCTTTAAAAAAATCCCCTCTCTTATGCCTCGGCCTCGTAAAGAAGTGAAATCATAAAGTGTGATTAGTACTTGAATCATAAAGTGTGATTAGTACTTGTTCATGTCGCTACCTCAAGGAGGTAAACGCTTTCGAAAATTTTTGTCTTGACCGATCATAAATTCGTGATGTTATGAAGGTGCCTCTGGGAAACCTTGGAAAACCATAACAATTGTAATGTGCCACTTTATTTTACAGGATTTTCAGACCAGTTTGACAAGTATAGCTACAAAACTATAGACAAAATTGGAAAAAATTACGATTTTCAATCCATCATGCACTATGACAGGAGAGCTTTTACGAAGAATGGACTGGACACGATCATCAGGTTTGATAAGCCAGTCGGATGGAAGGACTTTGGAACGCCTCAGAAAACGATGAGTCCTCAGGATATAGTTGAACTCAACGCCTTGTATGATTGCGAAAGTAAGTAATTCATGAGCAAGACTGTGTCTGTAACATAAATGTTATAGACAGAGGCAGACGTATAGGCACAGATTTATGAGTAGTTTTACTCCTGGGAAACAGAGAGCGAGAAATAGGATAAGTAGCCCGCCGAACTCCCTATGATAAAGGTTGGGAGTCTAACCATGGACGGGGACGTAATGTTTTGTTCTTATTCTATATATAATATATATATTATCGGACGTTTTGGTGTGCAGAATCGCTAAGTAATTTTTACGAGTTGTGCCGTATTTCGACGAACCCGTTGTATCGCTCAGCGATACCACACACCAAAACTTCAAATAAGTTATTTATTATCGGACTGCTTTTTTTTTCTGCTATCTCTCTACTCATTTGTCACAAAGCGTGAAAAGAAAAACGAATTGAGAAGAAAACAGGTTTTTTAACAGTATAAAATAACCAACTGTCCATTTGACCGTACAACATCGCAGGATATTTGTACCCTATTCGCGCGTTATTTGTGCTCTACTTCGTGCAGTCGGATGACAAAAATGTATACGTGAGTACTCGTGAACAATTAAGGTAACCTGTTGAAAATGTTGGATAGCAATCATCCCAACAAAGGGGAATGTAATATTCATAATTGATTTGTGCCGCTGAAACTGAAATCATTTTTGGTAGCGTTGCTAGTCAATTCAGTGTTCATATTTTTGTTCAGAGCAAGACTGTTTTCGTCCTATCCTAGTCCTATGAAACTCCATAAATTCAGAATTGTTACGTTGACTTATCACATTGTAGCTGTGAATAACTACCGTATATTGTGATTGTGAAACCATTACATTGCGCTTTGTATAAAATGCGTTTTACAACCAAGGCATCTCTCACAGAAGAGAGCTAAAAGCAACACTTCTTATCCAACTACTGCAAAATTGATCGAGAGTAGGCATAGAAAAACCTAGATTTGCGTAATGGAGACGTGTTATTTATTCACGGGAAGTAATGTGCAGGAATCGTAACATCTAAGGATAAGTTATGAGTTTTTTTTTTAGCTTTAATTCATTATTTCCTTCCTTTCAATGCAGCAAAAAACTACGGTTGGACGCAGTGGTCGGGATTCACGCCTTGTGATAAAGATTGCATGAAAGAGCGCCAACGTTATTGTTACAATTCAGGTAACCCTAAGGCCTGTGGTGGCAATGTGAACGTATATGGTATCGAGACGGAAAGAGTGAAATGTGGAAACTACGAGTGCCCAGGTAAACATCTCTCACAAATTATTAATCGCAGAGGTTACTCAAAGGCTGTTAATTCAGACTAATTTAAGACTGCATTCCACGCCAATTTTTTGCCTTGCAATCAGTAACGTTATAATTGGGAACTTGCATAAAATAATCATTTATTGCACTTGATTAACCAATCATAACACTGATCTAGGTCATTGTGTTTAGACTCAAGCTAAGGATTGCCAATATTAGGAATGATAGTGACCGGTGGCGAACTCCGCAGAGACAGGGTCAAAAGGGTTTCACCGTCCCCTTCCTTCTTCACATCAGACTTGATGACCCTGCAACGTTATGCATGTGTGTATGTAACAATTTATCAATGGGAGGTGACAACAGCCAGTTAAACCTGACAAACTTGCGGTCCCCAAGTTAAAAATTAAACAAGTTAGGCGTCTAGAAACAACCCAAGGGAACTAAGTGTCTTTAGAAAAATGAAAAAATCGGTTAATACCGTCTACACTATGACACCTCTTTAAAAACTTAGATGCAAAAAAACAGTGAGGCCCTTATAAGAAGCGGGTTCGGTTCCAAAGTTTCGCCGCTCTTACACGAAACGCTCGCCTCTCTTCAGAATTTTTTTTTCGAAGCGTAAGCAGACTTTAGGAAGTCATGTCCGCTTCTTCTATTGTTCATGTTTGAATTTAGCACCATCATTGAGCATGTTATTACCAAGTGACTTAATGGAGTTTCCTTGTTATAAATTTTCGAAGTAGAATTGTGCCTTCCGATGGTCTCGGAGAAAAATGAACCTTATGCAAGCCATGACATTTTCTCACATGCTTTGCTTTTGAAGCATTATTACTTAGAACGTTTACAATACCTTTGTAATTAGTAGAGGAGATTGCAGATCTACTCAAATGAAATTTGTAGATGTTTATAAGTTATTTACTTATCGCATCTTATCTGTAGTTAGAATAAATGGGCACTGGGGCCGTTGGTCTGATTGGTCGAGATGCGATGTTTCATGTGACGACGGCAAAAGGAAACGATTCAGAAAGTGTGACAACCCTGAACCAAAACATAGCGGGAAGTATTGTGCCGGGGAATCAGTGGAAGAGGGAGTCTGCACAATGAAGAGATGTCAACTCAGTGAGAATAAATTTTAAGCTGTGACTTTCTCGATGAGGCCACTTATCTTTTTGTCATAATGAAAGTCAGAAAAAATTAGGCAATAAGCCCCAAAATTTTTACCCGGATAATTCGTGGTACAGCGATGTGGATTGTTCGTCCACGTATTTATAGTTTTATGTGAAACAAAAGCTGCCGTGAAACTTACGGACACGGACTTATCTTAAGTTCTCCCGACATATCCAGTTGTACACGGTCAACTGATAGTTAGCAGTTTGGAAATTACCTAAGCCTACCTCTATATCATGGAACTTGAAAACCTTTAATGTTAAAACATTTTTGAAATACTAAATGTGTCGATCGTTCTGTTTTAAATTCAAAAGCGAGAAAGGAAGGCGGCTTAATTGTTTTCCGTGTTCTTACATTAACAACGTTTTAGGTATTATACGCTAGATCGATGTCCCATTTCTTTAGCTAGGGTTTTCATTCGTTTGGACTCAAGAGTATCAACTTACTTTCATTTTCCAAGCATGACTAATTTCATTTTGAAATCATTCCTTAGGATATCAAGACACTGATTTTGATGGCAAGTTATTGGGTATGTGGGTTAACAAGGGACAAATTAAATGGATGCGGAATAAATATTTCACCGGGACAAAGGAAACTGGGCCCAGCCGTGACCACACAACCGGAAAAGGTTTGGAGAAGTTACATTGAAATTAACTGATAAACTTTGGTTTAAAAATGCCATTTAAGTAAGGTACGATAAGAGTGCGAGCTGCTTTACTCTAAGAAATCGGTGGCCGATTGAAACTGTTGGCTGCGCGACCGTTTAGTTTTGGACCAAACTGAGTTTATCGAAACTCCATTGAAGCCGTAGTCCTAAATCATTGTAACCTCCTTTACTAATTCTTTGAGTTCTCTAATTTTGGAGATTATTTTCAATGAAAATAATAGTTAAGCGTGAAAATGAAAGTTTTTTGGCGGTATTAATTATTAAAATTCTATGCCTGGCCAATACATGAAATCAATAATTAGGCATTAATAGTCAGAATCAATGGATATAAATCCGGAGCAATACATGGCATTAAGAGCATACTTGTGATCTGACCTCTCTATCAGGGTGTTTAGCTAACTACCGATTGGCCTGCGAGAGCCATTGATTGGCAAATAGCAATCGATATCAATCAACAAATCGATCAATCCTGATTAATCCTGATCGTCGACCTTCCTCAATTTTTAGGCCTAGTGAACTGCTATAAAATTGATGAATAAAGAAATCTTGCCTCATGTGTTCATCTAAATAAGTCAGCTCATTTGTTTTTAGGCTACTATCTGTACATGGAGTCATCCGCTCCGGCCCAGCCAGGTAACCAGGCTATTCTTGAGAGCCAGCCATGGCTGTCAGCTCCAAAAGGAGGCCAGTGCATGAAGTTCTTTTACACCATGTATGGTAAAACAATGGGTTCGCTTATAGTCAAATTGCAAGAGTTTGGTAAGCGAGCTAAGAACATTTTCACAAAGACAGGCGATCAAGGTCTTCATTGGATTGGAGCCAAGGTCAGCCTCAATATTCCAGAGGGAACAAAGTACAAGGTAATACAGTCAAAAGATACGAGTAAAGGAGTCACAACTAGAATGTGGCAGTTTTTTTAGGCAGTCATACCAATTAATTAAAAGTGTATAGCCCATCAGTTTTAAAAAATTTTTATGCAATCAACAATTCTTTCTTTCGTATTTATTAAGGTAATACGTTGAAGTCAATAAAGCAATGTTCAGTGAAGGGGTTATCTATCGCGCCTGGAGAATGCTCTTACCTATATGCTCTATAGAGCAATAAATCACAGTTTATATCATTTGCTTGATTGCTTTATGAGTTTTTTTGGTTTATTCCGTTAGCTCAAAATCATCGCCCGAGTTGGAGGCACTGGATACTCTGACATTGCCATTGACGACGTGTACATCGATCCTGGTCTTTGTTGTGAGTAACAGTATTTACCTTTTGTAGCCAACATTTGTTCCAAAAAAAATTGTTAAGCCAGAAAATTTATTTACGTTCCAACGGCATACGAGAAGATTATCCCATCTTATGGATAGTCTTGGCATAGCTTTACAGAATAGATCCTTAGACGTAGTTAAACAGAACACTCAAATATCGTTCGGCTCGGAGAACAGAGCCGTGGTCTGTCATGACATTTTTCAAAACACTTCAAAATGAGAAGTTGTTCGTACAGTATGTTTTTGTACTTCGTGCCATGAAAGAAATCCACGTAGGAACTTCCATGAAAACCACTTGGGTCAGTTAAGTTTGGAGTTCAAGAAGTGTGGTTATTGACTCGAGGCCTTTTTATTTTTATTTTTTTTACCTTTTGCCTTTGTAAAATTCATTGTTTTTCCACAGCATGTCAAGACGACTATGTGTCGTGTTCAAAGTGGAAGGCTGCCAAACATTGCGAGAAAAATGTTCAGTTTATGAGCAAACATTGTGCAAGAAGCTGTGATACATGTGGTAAGATAGACATTCTATCTTAAGTTAGCTAAACTAAGAAGGTATATGGCAATTTTAATATTTAATGTTTGCAATGAAATGCAGTCTAAACTAATAACTGTAATGGTTTAGATTGCGGTTAGTCTGAGTTCCGTCGGCACAGTTCTTTTTTCTGTATATCAAGTTGACATAAATTTCATTGTGATTAGTCTCATGTTTAGCCCCACATAACCCTCATCAATGGAAGAAGTACAACAGCAACTTTGACCTGATTTTATTCCTTTCTTTTCAAATGATTTCTCCAGTAAATGGGTACCTATCAGTATTTTTTTTTTCAAAAGTTATTTGGAGTCCAGAATAGGTCAAGCGTCAAGCCCTCTTTAATCCCAACTCTCACCATAAATTGATCAAGTATCTCAATAAATTTCTTCGGAATCATTTCTTACGATTCATTTCCAGAGTGTAAAGACGACAACTTTATGTGCCCAGCATGGGCAACACAGCCAAACGGTTGTTCTAAAAACTCTGACTACATGCGTTCACATTGCCAAAAGAGTTGCAGAGTTTGCCGTAAGTACATCAAGTATCTTTCTTTTCATATCGATTTGATTGAATAGATACTTGAATTAGGATATGATCCACTGATCGCTTCTCATCAGTACACTCCAAAAAATATTCTTTTCACATGCACAAAGTTCTCAGAGGGCAATTAAACCGGTAAACATCTTGAATTCTGCTAGTATGTAAAGGCTTTATAATGTAGCTCGGCTCTGAAAAGCAAAATCGAGATTTAATATTTTCAACTTTACCCCCATATCAGATCCACCTAAAGGCCCGTTGCCGGCGCAACCTCATGCAGGTAAGCTCAAACTAAGTCAAATTAATTTTGCTTTCAATTTTTACATATCGGAGTGTTTGTTTTGGATCACGATGGTGGAGAAGTTCGGCAGCAACGGATTATTGATCCTTCCGTGTATGTAGAATATTTGATTGAGAATGCTGTTGGCTGAAAGATTGAGTTTGCAATGCTAATTGAAAGGAACGAAAATAAGAGCACTCCAATTGTTACCGTGCACTTATTAGCAAATTGTTTTGGTCCATCTTACCATGGAACCTTAAAATTTATCGTATCATCATGATAACAATAATCACCAATTTCTAGGGATAGCTGCGGGCTTTTTAAGCGTAGATGCGTTCATGAGACGATAGAGTAGGTTCTAAACGGGGTTTTCATCAAAACGAATATCACTCAGTTCCCGGAGTTGTATATTTCCAAGAGATAAGCGTTTCCATATCGACTATCGAAAAGTTTCCCTCTCTCATTATTTTGTTTAGGCAACAGGCCACCACCCATGTGTAAGGACAACGACGAAACGCAATGTCCCGCCTGGAAAAATTTGGGGGAATGTTCAAAAAATCCGTCATTCATGTCGGTGAATTGTGCTCTGAGCTGCGGAATATGTGGTAAGTAAATGATCTTTAAAATATGATACTAAGATTTTTTCTGAGAGAAATCATACCGAAATTAATGTAAAGAAGTAATATTTCTAAAAACGATTTCTTCCAGCTTGCGAAGACAAGTACTCTAAATGTCCCCAATGGGCCCAGAAAGGGGAATGTGTTAAAAACAAGAAATGGATGTTGGATCACTGTCTTAGGAGCTGCCATGTTTGTGGTTAGTTGACACGTTTATTTCCTACAGCCGCTTAATATCAGTAACGATAGTTTTCTATTTATCAAATTACTGAACGCTTTTACTATTTTGAGTGAGATGTGTATCTTGAGGTATAGACGAGAAATTAGTCAACATGATAACCGAACCACCTATATGCAGAAGACGGCAAGATCTTGAAAATTGCACCTCCATTTGTATGCAAAGGTTTGGCCACTACGCACAAAACTACACATTACGGAATCGCGCCCATTGAAAAGCGTCGCCCGAGAAAAGTGGGGTACCCATGATGCTTTGCGGGCGCAGTGACCTAGGAATGAGGTTGCAAACGCTCACCGCCAACTTCGGTCGCTTTAGATCTGAATTGACAAATTCCCAAACGGGAGTTGTAAAATTTCGCTTTGCGTCCGTTTAGAGACAATGGAGATACAATTGGAGCAATTAGCATTGTTTCAAAGTGACGAAATGCTCTTTTCGTCGGTAAAGAGCGAGGGCCGCGTTTGCATATCAAAAGAGCGTGAAGTGTTCATCCGTAATCTTATACTAACCACGCGATCGCGAGCAATCCTGTCCACGTTGGAGCGACAGGTCAATAGGATTCGGTTAGGTCTAGGCATTATTCACATATATGCAAATACTTATGGCTTTGGAGTTTTTAAATGCATGAATCAAACACTATCTAACTCAGGGAGAGTTGGCAAACTGCACATATTCGTTGCAAGAATCAAGCTTAGCTGGAATTAAAATCGGAAAGAAATCTCCCTAATGATAAAAATTTTCCACCGTAAAAAGTTGTTTTCTCTGGGCCACTTTTACGTAGTTTTAAGTTGTCGCCTTGATCAGGTTATGCAAACTTTGCAGTTTATCGTTAAAAGATAGATTCCATGTCGCCGTGCTTCTGTTCAGTTCTAAATCTCAGATGAAGTGTACTAAAATATGGTAAGAAGATAAAGAGCAAAACACGAGGTGCAGCCGAGTGTATCACTGAAGAAATGAAAGATATAAGATGATAAAAACTTATTTCTATTTATGCTATTTTTCTTCTTAAAGCTTGCGGCGACAACCATGTAAAGTGTGGACTGTGGGCCAAGCTGGGGGAATGCGGAAAGAATGAGAAGTTCATGACGGAACAGTGCAAGAAAAGTTGCAAGAAATGTTAGCTACACTGCATAAAAAGAAAAAAAAAATTAACTGAGTTATTTGCATGTTCAAAGAGTAGTTCATTGAGGTATTCGTTAGAGGGAATATATATGTAGACATTCTACACAGAAGAATACCAATAAATAGTTCATCCTGTCTTGAATAGACTCTTTGTCTTAGATGTAAAGTAGGATTTGTTGAGAAGTATCAAATTATGTCAATGACAAGAGCCTTATCCTACAACCCACCCGCCCCCCACACCACTGCCAGCTTTTTTTCCTGTCGTCAGTTCTTTTTGCGTCCAGTATCGCTCTACAACTTGACGTGCAGTTTCTACACTATACCTCAAACAGATGAATTTTCATAGATGTTGCACCTTTAAAAAAGTACACACTTATAAAGCACTTTTCAACTCTTTTTTAACCGGTCGTGTTTACTTCAGCTGCTCAAACGTCACTATAAATGCTACATTTTCAGCAGTTGCGGCAGCTTTTCTTGCAGTGGCTCAACATCCAATTAGCGTTCTTCTTGCACTCACCGATGGATGCCCAGTAAGCGCAATTCTTGTCCGTATCGTTACACCCTGTTACAGCTGTAAATTAATAAGGTGATTAAAAAACATAAGTTTGATAAATTCCTGGGGAAGACCTCTGCTTTCAAAGCATTATCTATTATGATATCGAGTAAGAGAACAAACATACAAAGGAACAAACTGAACAAAGCAAAAAACAAATCATAGCAACACAGAACATAAAACTTGCACGTAAATGAGGAGGTGCGATTTATGTACTTTGAGTTGTGTTCATCAAATATTCTTACTCATTACTAAAAGCTTGAAGAAGGATCAAAGTTCCCTTCTTAATGGTAATGGCTCAATTGGACTAATAAAAATTACAGCTGGGTTCGTATTCAGCGATATGAAACATCCGACCGACGAGACAAAAATATAAGGACTACCAGGTGCGTGCTCCGTGAATTGAAAATATAACACTGAAATTGCGAGAAATGTTCTCATGTTCTATTTTTCAAATTTAAGAGAACTTGGTGTTCCCCTTTTAGTTTTCCAATGTTCTGTGTTCTCAAACCATGTACAGGTTTGCTGAGTTTCTGTAAAATTCATATGGTAATCAAATATGTGAAATAAGAGGTTTGAATCACCAATTTAGCATTAAGATTACACATGGCTACCTTTGCAACTCTTGCAGCAAGTCTTTAGCATATAGTTTGGGTTCTTTTGGCATTCTCCGATTGATGCCCAGTATCGACAGTTTTTGTGACCATCCTGACAACCTTAAGTAGAATAGGAAGGGATGCAAACATAAACTTACTAAAACCAACATAATTTTATTGAAAACTATTCCACTGCCTGTGCGCCACAAATGAGACGGTAGGATGCGGCAAAAAATGCTACGTAATTTCTGTGTTTGTGCTCCAAAGGTACGATAATACCATGACCTGTAAACCAATCAAGATTTAGGAACTGCAATATACAATAGCTAGTGTACAATCAAATTACTCTTTTCCACCCTTTCTGAAATTTATCTCTAATATTCACGGAAAGTGAAACTCTTCTCCTCAACCCAGCCGCAATAACTATTCCTGATCCAAATCAGATGTTAAACTAAAATGACAAGAATCGTATGTTGGCAAGCTCGCTATTCTACAACAATGCTGCTACATTGCTTTCAATTTAGATAGCTCAGTTGTTCTTCAGGAAATAGTTTGTTTTTTTGTTTTGCTTTGTCTTCAATGGCAGAGAAACAAGCGTAAAACTCACCGCTGTTTCCACCGCCAGTCTCGCCGGCTCCACCATTTCCGCCGTTTCCGCTAGCCCCCTGGCATTTGTACAGAAGGTTCATCTGCTTTGCATCCATGCTACTTATTCCGTTACGTTGACCAATAGTCACCTGTCAGTAAAATTGATCATTCTTTGAAGTTTATCGTTCAAAAATAGACCCCTTAAGTTAAGGTAATGGTAAGATCAAGACTAAGGTGGCACAAGTGATCCTACCGAATATTCAGGGTATTCTACAATTGCAAGGGAACCCTATAAAACTTTCAACCAAGTTTATTGCGCTATCGAGACAAAGTTAAATTTCCTCTAATGTTAATGAATCAATTTGTTACCCCTTGCTTATTGGGCAAGATCGTTGGTCTTCTATTGGCACTGAATGCATATGAGTCATAATGCATCACACTTGCGTAATCATACGGTGTACCCAGTGAGTCAATGGTATCTCTTCCGTACTTATTGAAGTTGTAGGCCATGCCTAGCGCGATAAGATAACGAAATTAAAAATAATTTAGTGCTTAACAACTGAACTCATCTTTTTCGTCTCGATGTGACATCATTGCCCCAAGTGAGGATACACTCGAGTTATAAGTCTTAATGTAGCAGTGTGTGTAATTGAATGATGCCTTTTTATTACGATTTGTATTAATAGTTCATTATTGTATTGTTTTCAAGAATTGCATTATAACTTTAGAACTGTTTGTGAATATGAAATATCACGTTAGTCAGGTAGGCTTAAATAAAAGAGGAAAAAAGGAAATTTAGAGAAATTAAAAGGGGTTAATTTCTCGTTGGAAAAGACGCCTGAGTAAACTCTATTTTCAGATATGCGTCATATGATAATTCCCTACCTTGCATTATATTTTGTTTGTATATGGTTACGTAGTTGTCTCGATCTGGACGAGATTGCTCGTGGTAAAATCCTAGAGCGTGCCCTAGAAGCAAGTGAAAGAATAGCTGGTTTACAGAATGCATATATATATATATATATATATTGTATAGGGTAGTGAATCCGGCTTTTTCTTATACAAATGAAAAGACTGCATATCGTCAAACTGTTAATTTTGTTGTAGTATACTTAAATGTGTATTGTGCTGTGTTTAAATCACGCTCATTTTCTGCATAACCAGCCGTTAGGCGGATGCCCCGCTGCAGCTCAGCTGGTGGGTGAACCCAGCGGTATAAGAGTGGTTGCGTGCCAAAAGAAGCGGGCTGTTCAAGCACACAGTTTCCCGCTGGCAAAAAAAATTAAAGTTTGATGAACCCACCAATCTCGTGTGCTGCTGTTCCCACGCTCCAACAGCCATTGCCAAGTGAAATGTATTGGAGTCTCCTCTGATAACCCACCTCAGAGGAACAACTGTAAGATAAAGAACATTACAAGGTTTAAGTTCTCATTGACGAAGGGAAACCTGTAGGTCGAAAGTAATTAGTTTTGTCCTCACGTGTAATCAGTAAGAGAATTAATTTCACTCTTACCCTTGGCCTACGTGGAAATAGGCGTACCCATGCTCTCGTTGGCGCTTTTGGAATCGTATGCAGGTCTTACTGGTCCATTGCTTCATGGCTTTGTTGAGAATGGACATCATTTTAGCGTCCCTCGCTGCAAAGGAGGAATGCCTCTTAATACCCGATGTCATTTAGCGAATTTTCATCTTCAAGCTTCGTTTCTATTACAACTTTCGTTGATAAAGAAAGATGTTTATTCGTCTTGTCACGAGCGCGGAACAAAGAAATAGAATCTAAGTCCACTTGAGAAATCGAATCTCGGACTCATGTTTACAAAACATGGCGCTATCAACATTGTTGATCCTGGACGTGTGTCATATTTAAACTTCGTAGTGGGCCTCGCTCACCACAGAGTCTCTGTGGCTCAGTAGTAGAGCACCAGAGCGCGGAATCCGAAGGTCTGAGGTTCGATTCTTCACGGGGGCTTCAGAGTTTTTTCTTTGTACCACGCTCGTGACATCTCTATCTATCTGTTTACCGAGCAAAAGAATTACAATGTTTCTTATATCTTTGTTGTTTTTATGTGGGTGTCCGTTTTCTTTTCGGAATTTTTAGGAAAAAATTTCTTATTAAAACTCATCAGTCTGCACCTAGAAAGCGAGGCTTGGAGTGAAATAAAACATTTGGCCGTTAAAATCCTACCAAATGATTTCTTGAAGTCTCATACGAAAAACATGCACTGATGCATGCACTTTGGAGCTTTGACAGCGATTTGCGATCGAACTGAGTTGAAATTTTAAACTTAGACCTCTTGGAGTTACCTTCAAGGGTTTCTAGAGAAGAAAAATCGGATCGGAGGATACTTGGAAATAACCAAGGCAATCTCCTTCCAAGTCTTATTTCAATCAATCAAATTAGGAGACTTGTAGAACGGCAATATAAGTAACCCTATTTTAAACGTTTTTCATATCTGTCCTTACTCCATTTGTCCTCACCTATCTTCGTTGCAATATCATAGATCATTACCCCTCCTGGCCATTGCATATTCATGACTGAGCCTCTTGCGTTTCCCCTCGCTCTATCTACATCTAATCCTTTCATGGCAGCTAACCGCTGAGCTGTGCTTAAAATCATATCTCCTTCAAACAGTTTGGCATTTTTTATACCAATGTTTTCTGAGAAAGAAAAAAACAAGTGACATAATGAATGCCAAAGCCAATGAATAATCGACTCCCAGTGGCATAAGATTACAATAGAGAGATTAAGCACCGCGTTTACATGAAACGGTGAACGTCGCCTTGCATTGCCTTTTCACGTTCGCGCAAAATAGCGTGAATTTTTATTGCTTTAGCTTCGCGTGAACTCACATCACCTCGGAATGGACTGGAGGCCGTTTCGTAAGTCAACGTGAGATCTTGCATCTCTGCTGAAGGAAAGCGCGGAATTTGAAGAATTTTCAACATGAAACTTCATCTGCTTAAGTATGACTTGTCAGGTATAGTTTTGGAGCATTTTTTCCAGTTCTTTATTTTCATTATTTTTACTCTCTGAAAGAAAGAGTGAAGAAAATCTCCTCATACACAGCAAACACGAAACAGTTCACTTTTATGTTGAAACGGCAAAGCGTAACCGGGAAAATCTTGGTCACGTGGTCACTCCTGCCGTTCATGTTTCAGGAAAAGCGGTGTTTAAGCTCTCCAATATCCCCCCTCCCCCTGCAGTTGACATAAAACTGAGTGACTTGTGCTTAGCATTTCTGATTGTGAAAAAGGTAACCTTATACGACAGAGCTGTACTTTAAGTAGCTCATGTAATGATGGATACACACTGTTCAAATATTTATTAAAATATAAAATGATAAAATGAAATGACAGTTAAAAGTAGAAGGATAAACTATTAGAAAAAAAAAACATGAACACCTT